TGCTTAGTATATGTACAGCCTGACACAAGGTGACGTTCATCTTTGGGAAATTATAGACACACATTTAGGATGCAAAATCAGATAAGATGTACTGTTTGGTGTCTAACCATTCAGAATAAGTAAACGTTACTCAAAGAATCTTCTGCGATGAAACGAAAACAATGGAACCTTATTAAAAAGGAAGGTACCATTGAAATCGCCCGGATTAACAATTTTCCAGATTAAAGGTGGACCTTAATCCATGAACTGTTGGTCCAACATTCGGTGTATGTCAAGACGATGTATTACATGGCATGATTCACACCGTGGCTTTGTATCTGGCTTGTCTGGACGCCCGAGGAGGTCACACAAGATACTGGCGCCATTACCGAGCTGTCTTGGAAGCATTCAGAAGCTTGGTTAAGCGACTTTCGTTGTTTTTTAAAAGGAAAAGTGACATTAATATCTTCAGATGAGTGTGAATGTTGATTTTTTCATTCGTCGCAAATGCTATGAAATTGTCTTATGGCGTATACACTGTTCAATAAATGAAACGCATAAGCCATTTTTAGAAGAATGTAATGCGTCAGTTTAAGGGCAATCATTTCATGTAATTTCAATGGTAAAAAGGTGAAAATTCACAGAGAAAGAGTTCGCCAACACAACAGCAGCCTTTTTGTTTCTGTTTACTTGAGTCCACAAGATGGCGTCAAAGTCCGTAGCCACTATTGGCAGCAATTACTGCTCGGCACCGTTTCGGCACAGACTGGATAAGTCGACGAAGTAATTATTCCCCACTCTTCCTGGCCAGTTGTAGAAGTGTCTGAGGCGTGTTTTGACTAGTTCAACCCATATGTGTTCTATCGGGTTTAGATCTGTCGGTCGGGAAGGGCATGACAAGACACTGACGTTAGAATTGGCAAGGTACCGTCCGTGACGCATGCTGTATGTGAAGTAGCGTTTTGCTGTCAAATTCCCCTGAACCACCACTAAATCAGATATGTGTGTGCTGGATATGGCACCCCACACCATGACACTGCTTACGCCGAATCTGTCGACCTGTCGAATGCATTTAGGGGCAAAACGTTCATTTCTCCGACGGCAAAAACGCTGTCTTTCATCTCGCCGGTGAAGAAGAAATCGTTATTCATCACTGAACCAGACTCGCCTCGAGTTCCGGACTCAACGACACCACCGCAAGCGATTGCGCCGATGGAGGTCTCTCAAAACAGGGGCGCCAACTGGTCTTCTTGGTCGAATCCCCACTTCACGCAATCGATTCCTGACAGTTTGGCCGGAAATTCTTTTGAAACCAGGGATGCGTTGTGCAGTCTCCTCGGCTGTGGCAAGACGATGACGCAAGTGAGCAGCCCGTATATACATAGCGGTCCTGGGCTTGGGTGGTAACTCTTGGATGGACGCTTATCGTGCGATCTTGGGCGGAATTGGTCTGCAGGAAACGATCCCAAAGGCGAGATATGGTGCTCTGATGAACGTTGAAATGTCGGGCAACTGCAGACTGCGACTCCCCAGCTTCAAGGCGGCCTATCGCGATGTTTCGATTGGCGGCACTCAGTCGTGGCATGGTGGTTTCCTCTTTTCCAGGCAAACGCGAATGGCAAAATCAAACACAACATGTGCCTTTTTAGAGTGATCGATACCGCTTACTTGCACGTGCAATTTGCTTTGCATGTTTTCTTGGTGACGTTTTAGCGAATATTTCTTCAAACGCTTCTAAAACAAGGGGAAAAGTTAAAATTGCCGCGTTTTAGGCGTCGAAACTGTTTACAATCACACAAAGATGACGTTTTGGAAAGAAATAGTATATTTGTATTGTTTTTGCCTCAGCTACATGAGTCCAAAATTCTTTTGTATTGGATAATTTTGGACTGCGATTTTTGTGTATGTTTTATTATTTTTGAATAGCTGAACCGGATGGCCCAGTCGTCGAACGCGCCGCGATTCACAATGCGGATCCGTACGGCAGAGACTTGTGATTATGGGTTCGAATCCCGCTGAGGCCTGATTTTGTTTCTAGGTTCGTCGGCAACAAATGGTAAAGGTCTGTGATCTGCATTACTTCGGGTTTTTCCTCCCACATTAAACTTACACACCATGTTAAAACTGGAATGATATGAGAAGGAGTTAAACCCAGCTCATTCAGCAACATAGAAATTGGTAGCTGAATGTCAATAATCTTAATCAGATCTGTGGATTATGTTTTGCTGTGTTGTACCTGCGTTATTGTGCTCCTTGAATTGTGAAAGGGACAAGTCCTGTGGGACGAACTGTAATCACCGAGGACAGAAGAAAACCGCCCCGCAGTTAATTCGCTTTGACGGCGTGTCAGTAAACCACACCGCCTGTTTTCTCAGGACACAATGTATACAACTTGGACTTGGTACCTACCGTCTGACAACAGTAAACAATGACAGACATATTGAAGGACGTATGAGTGACACAGTTAGAAGTGAGGTCCAGGTGCGCTTATTGTTGTCTTATGTTACAGTGCAAACGTATTGGACAATCTGTGGCTGAAATACACGATATTCGTGTTGAGAGTGAGTGATTGAGTGAGTGAGTGAGTATGCAATATTCCAGCATTATCAATGCGGGGGACATCAGAAATGGGCTTCACACATTGTACCCATGTGTGGAATCGCCACCCGGGTCTTCAGCGTGACGTGCAGATGCTTTATAATTACCCATTAGGCTACCCCACTGCTCCTATTGAGGGGAATCTAAAATCACAATGTAAAGACGCACCAAACGAAACCAGCTATTTGACCTTTTTAACATGTACACTTTATTAGGAAAATAGAAAATTGTGTTTTCACCGAAATACACATCTTAAACCTGCCCAAGGGAATCCTAGTAGATAAACCGTTGGTGCCGAAGACCCGGGTTCGATTCCACAATGTGTTCAGTTCCGTTCAGTTTATTACGGTTTTATAGGCCGTTGACCCATAAATACCTAAACAGCCCAAACTTGCTTTGGTGTACAGCTGGACGAATGGACGACTAGCATTTAGCAATCTTCATTCAATGTGTGAAGCTCCCTTGTGTCCCTCCCTATATTGTAGCTCGAATATTGACTTGCTTTATGTTGACCTACTCTCAAGTCTCAGGTGGAAGACGTGTTGTCACACTCCATGGTTTGCCACATAATATGTCCTCGATCAAGGCCAAGCGTGCACGAGTCCATGCCCTCCACAGACTCGTAATGGAGCTTTGTATATTTCATTGTTCCCTTGCATGATCACACATTTTAACACATTTCAACAACATCAGTGAATGCTCTGAGGTTCGACGGGAAGATCCTGAAATATACCCAATGTCTAGAATATGTCGCCAGTCTGAATTACCACTGTTTCAGTCTAATAATGAAGAAAGTCATTTTGTTAACTTTTATGAGTATCATATGGGAACTGTGTTTTCATATAACATTTTCGGACTAAATATCAGTCTATACTATACGGTGTCAGGCTACAAACACTTCTTGTGTCAGTTGTGTCAGTACGCTGCTCACCCTGGGAAAGGACATGCTTATCCTTTTCCAAAAACACCGTATGTCATCACTAAATGTAAGGTCCCTATACAAATGTATATATTTTGAACCGCTATCTTGCCTTTTGCGATGGTTGCAGTCAGTTTCGGAAGATAATAGAGACTGGTTACTTGCTGGCATTGACGTCTTGTCTTTACACGTAATTAAGAGCATAGACTGTCCCTGCATATTACTTCAAGTTATCTAAGTAATACTAGGAATTGGTTCCTCTGTAAAGTTTCGGATAGAAATTGCACAATTATTGAAAAGCTAAGTACATATATTTAAGGCTTTAATGACATGGCCTCGTAGCATTATTCTATCATTATTCATGTATGGGTGTACTGTGTGCCACTGTGAGTGGTTTTGGTTTTGGTGAATAAAATGAAAAAATAGGACTTAATCTAAGTGGTGTGAGAAGATGTATTTAATTAGAAAAAAAGACACAAGAGCATCTATTTAACTTGCAAACTGACACCGAACCCTCGTACACTAATCCTGAAGTACATTGACAGTAGTCTGTTATTTAATGTTGAATTATAATGAAGAATAGACTTGAAAATGTGTAAATAACTTTAAAGAGTGTTCGTTCAAGTTTTCCTTGTAATTTGGGTGAGCCGTGCTATTCATTCAGCCATAACATTGCATAACAAGTACCGCCAAGGCTACGCTCATTTAACCTCTTAATATTGAAATTGGATGTTACAGCAAACCCCCCACACCCATAAATAAAAGATTATGCCCCTTTTGTGATTCTGTAGAGTCTGAAGCCCATTTTCTTTTAAATTGTGCATTTTGCCATGATCTTACATGTAACTTTATAGATGAATTTAGTTTTAGCCCAGATGATAGTGATCATTTGAAATTTATTATGGTAATGAATACTACTGAAATCAAGGTTCTAAAACTTTTAGCTGATGCTATTAACGATATGTTCCGTAGAAGGCAGTTACATTCTTAATATATTTGGCCTATGTACTATTTTATGTATGTCATGAACACAACCGTCCAGATTGTATATTGTACATTTTTTAGTTAATTTGTTTTGGTAGTGTCTCATAAGCCAATGTTATGGCTGGGTGATATGTTTTATCTTGGCATTTGAAATGTTGTTTTACCTGTAACATATCATGTTACACTATAATAAAATATTTCTGTCGTTCTGTCTTTAACCGAGAAACGTCGCGATTTTGGCGTTCCCGGTCATGAACCTCCCCAATCGCACATTAATCAAAAAAACTGTATTCAGTACTTGTTAGTGCTACAAACGATGTTGCAGTCTCCATTGAAAATGTGGCGGGTTTTGAGGAGCTATACCGGTAGGGTGTCAGCTTACAAAATATATTGCGTTTCTTTTATTGAGAAGGGGAATCTAAGGAAAGAAGGCACACATTTCATTGTTTTAATACGAACATGGATACCTGTCGTCAGTATGACTTTAGGGACTATATCGTACTGAACTACATGTACTAGTACACAATCAGCTCTACGAGCTCTACACCCGAAAGACTCGTCCAAAGGTCATAATAAGCGACCTCGGGTTAGAATAAGATTACGCAACCACATCTAAAGTTTCCTAATTCGGATGAAGTGAACTTGTTGGAATTTCACGACATTTGAGTCTACTCGGTATATCGATTTATAGGCCAAGTTTCACTGAATGAGCTTAACCTGTCAAGAGTTACCTCCCCTTAACCACAAGGTGGCAGTTTTCGTTTACAAACAAAGTTGAGCCATGTGACAAGGAGTTGGGTTACAGGATATATATAAGTTCAAGTCGCCTGCTTCTCCCCTGACTCCACCGACATGACGAAGTGTGTGTTGTATCTGTTTGCTTGTGTGGCGGTGGCTACAGCCCATGTATGCATGATAAGTCCCCCACAGAGAGGGTCCATGCTCGGCATCAACAAGATGGGTGAGTTACATGAAGCATTTATGTGACAGTGTCTTTCTCACTGGCCATGCAGGTGATACTATTTAGCACTACTGTTGATATATTACAACAATCATTATATTATTTATACAAACTCTTACGGAAACTCCTATGTACGTGTGAGTGTGTTCCATTTTGATTAATTTATCAATAATATTGCAACACTGACTGACTGACTGAGTTTGGTTTTACGCCGCTTTTAGCAATATTCCAGCAACATCACGGCGGGGGACACCAGAAATGGGCTTCACACATTGTACCCATGTGGGGATTCGAACCCGGGTCTTCGGCGTGACGAGCGAACGCTTTGACCACTAGGCTACCCCACCGCCCCAATATTGCAACAAGAAAGACAACTTTGTGACACATCGTAATCCATGCGTGAAATGGAATATTTCACGATAACAGTTCTTCAGGCTATTTCATAAGTTGTTCAAATAATGGAGATAGTATTTTTAATTCAAGTGGGAACTGAATGAAAATGAGGTATATAGTGCCATGGATCTCTCACATTTTCTGCTTCATCTGAAGTTAGAACAATGACATGCCGAACATGTTCCGTTTTCCTCATCAACATTTGACAAGCACATATAATATCTGCGGAAGTCGAAGTTTACTATACCTTAATACTGGAGTAATCACCACAGCACTTTTACAATATTTCCAGTAGCACATCTGAATGTCATTATCGTGTGTAATCCATTTTTTCATGGGAAAATGTATTTCAATCGAACACACATTTCAAGAAAGCATTGAACCTCAAAATAGAAAATAAGATTCACTTCTGTATGGGTTTTCAATATATGCTAACTAAGTATTATGGAGATTACACGCCCATTGACTAGTCTAGGTATTATACTTGCATTGATGTATTTATTATTCACCTATATGTAGATAGATATGACATGTCTTTGAATCTCTGACTCACAATGTCACTAGTCTTGTTACATATTTGTTTTCTTTAGTCTAAAAAAATGATAGATGAACTTTAATCTTTCTGACATTTTGTTCATATACGCGTCTACGGAAACAGTATTAATTTAGACTGCGGACTTGACTTAAGTGATATCTTCCAGCCTTGCCTTGCATGTATTGTCTGTGTTGCAGGAGCTGTTGACTGCATGTTGGTTGCTGGACCGTGCGGGAAACGGGCAGTGGGTCCTGCAGTGGCTCTCACGTAAGGGACATCTTGTATATATCACCTTTTTCACTCATTATTATGATGATAATATATGAGAACATTTTGAAGTTCTTGCCAGTGGTACAAAATGTTAGGACTGAAAAAAAGAAGAAGTCAATGTACGTCTATATATTTTTGTCTTATGTTCTTAATTAATTTATTATAATATTTGTATGCATTTTGGAAATTCATAAAAAGTACACAGTCTGTTTTTAGTGAATTTAAAAGATGACTACAAATTATAGACATTTTATAGATTGCCTATGTAAATCATATTTCACACACATGCCCATTAGTGTGACCTAGTGTATATATGCTGTCTGTCTCACCAAATTGTTGAATTCTACAACAAATGAATAAAAACAAAATATTTTAAAAATATTAAAACCGATTGAAGATATAGCAATTATATCAGGGTATTACCATGCTCAAAGATCAATATCCACATAAAGTAAGGATATTACTTTTTTAAAGAATGGTGGACATCATGCAAACAGTTGTCAGGTGTGCTATCCTGGGTGACCAATGAAGTTTAGCATACATCAATGTGAAAAACCTGAAACAGTCACGTGACCAGTTGAGAAACTATCACCAGTTATAATGTTATATATATTTCTTGCAAATTACCAGCAGACTGTTAAATGACACAGAACAGGTGTCTTTGTCAGCAGAAGATGAAAGGTGCGGTGAAATTGGGTTTAACGTCGTGCATGAGAATATTTCGCACATGACGATGTGCATGCGTGTGTTTGTATAGCTGCTTGTACTAGCCCAGACTTAAGTTGGTTTTATAGCGCTAGCCCACTGAGATACCATGACGCAGTGAAGCATGAATACCCCACTCAGACACATTATACTGACTCCGAGCCGACCAGTCCTTGTTGTACCCATTAATGCCAAGCACCAGGCAGGGACCAACAAGAACCATATTTTAACGTCTTTTGGTATGACGCGGTCGGGGATGGAACCCGCAACCTTCCGCTCTCTGGGCGGACGCTCTAACCAGTACACCACAGAGGCGGTAAGGAAGATGAAAGGCATATCATTAGGTCAATAGACATCACATTGTTACATGACATGATTAAATATCGAGGTAAAAAACACAGGGGGCAGATCTAAAATTTGATGCCGAACACCAGTCATCATGGGTACCATGAAGCCATTTCTGGTATCCCCGCATCAGAAAATCCGACTCAGTCAGTCAGTCCAGCTTACAGCTGCTGCTGAGATACTTTATTACAATCAGACAAGAACTAACAGGGATATTTTCAAATAACTTCATCTGATGGGCACCAACCTTTCTTCTTATTGTCCCATCGTGTATGTTGAAGAAATTGGTGTCTTCCCATCCTGCCAACACATTAAAACAACATGATACGGTCCAGTGATCAGGAAGTAAGGTTAATGCTGCGAAACTTTAATTTGCCATTCATCAATGTTCATTATCGCCAATATCATCATGTCATTTAATTTAAGTGAAACTGCATTAATAACTCATTCTCCAAACCCAGCAAATTACCCTTCAGTGACTTGTAAATGGGTTGTTCCATTATTTTATAGGTCAAAAATCATTTCCCATTCTGCCTACGGTCATTTTAGGCAAACTGGGATGTAGGCAAATTCGGATTGTAGGCAGAATGGGTTGTAACCAAACATTCTGCCAAGGTGGACAGCTGCTGAGAGGGAGTATGGTAGAGGGAGTAGTGACTGACCATTTCACGTACATGTAATTAGATTGTTGGCACGAAACATTAACTGCTCTGAATCAGTAATAAGCATCTTGATTACTTTATACCAGAACAAGGTAAATATTATATTCCTGACAAATGTTTTTATTCCAGTGTTCAAGTTGGGATTTTCTGATATTTTGTTTTCTGATAAGGTCCAACTTACTTTCAGTGGAGGCCAAAACTTCACAGTGACCTTTCAAAAGAACCTTGACCACTGGGTTAAAGCAACACCAGTAAGTACTAATGACAGGTGCCCTTTCACCTTGACCACTGGGTTAAAGCAACACCAGTAAGTATTAATGACAGGTGCCCTTCCACCTTGACCACTGGGTTAAAGCAACACCAGTAAGTACTAATGACAGGTGCCCTTTCACCTTGACCACTGGGTTAAAGCAACACCAGTAAGTATTAATGACAGGTGCCCTTCCACCTTGACCACTGGGTTAAAGCAACACCAGTAAGTATTAATGACAGGTGCCCTTCCACCTTGACCACTGGGTTAAAAGCAACACCAGTAAGTATTAATGACAGGTGCCCTTCCACCTTGATCACTGGGTTAAAGCAACACCAGTAAGTACTAATGACAGGTGCCCTTCCACCTTGACCACTGGGTTAAAGCAACACCAGTAAGTACTAATGACAGGTGCCCTTCCACCTTGACCACTGGGTTAAAGCAACACCAGTAAGTACTACTGACAGGTGCCCTTCCACCTTGACCACTGGGTTAAAGCAACACCAGTAAGTACTAATGACAGGTGCCCTTTCACCTTGACCACTGGGTTAAAGCAACACCAGTAAGCATTAATGACAGGTGCCCTTCTACCTTGACCACTGGGTTAAAGCAACACCAGTAAGTATTAATGACAGGTGCCCTTCCACCTTGACCACTGGGTTAAAGCAACACCAGTTAGTATTAATGACAGGTGCCCTTCCACCTGGACCACTGGGTTAAAGCAACACCAGTAAGTATTAATGACAGGTGCCCTTCCACCTTGACCACTGGGTTAAAGCAACACCAGTTAGTACTAATGACAGGTGCCCTTTCACCTTGACCACTGGGTTAAAGCAACACCAGTAAGTATTAATGACAGGTGCCCTTCCACCTTGACCACTGGGTTAAAGCAACACCAGTAAGTATTAATGACAGGTGCCCTTCCACCTTGACCACTGGGTTAAAGCAACACCAGTAAGTATTAATGACAGGTGCCCTTCCACCTGGACCACTGGGTTAAAGCAACACCAGTAAGTATTAATGACAGGTGCCCTTCCACCTGGACCACTGGGTTAAAGCAACACCAGTAATTATTAATGACAGGTGCCCTTCCACCTTGACCACTGGGTTAAAGCAACACCAGTAAGTACTACTGACAGGTGCCCTTCCACCTTGACCACTGGGTTAAAGCAAGACCAGTAAGTATTAATGACAGGTGCCCTTCCATCTTGACCACTGGGTTAAAGCAACACCAGTAAGTACTAATGACAGGTGCCCTTCCACCCTGACCACTGGGTTAAAGCAACACCAGTAAGTATTAATGACAGGTGCCCTTCCACCTTGACCACTGGGTTAAAGCAACACCAGTAAGTATTAATGACAGGTGCCCTTCCACCTTGACCACTTGGTTAAAGCAACACCAGTAAGTACTAATGACAGGTGCCCTTCCACCTTGACCACTGGGTTAAAGCAACACCAGTTAGTATTAATGACAGGTGCCCTTCCACCTTGACCACTTGGTTAAAGCAACAGCAGTAAGTACTACTGACAGGTGCCCTTCCACCTTGACCACTGGGTTAAAGCAAGACCAGTAAGTATTAATGACAGGTGCCCTTCCATCTTGACCACTGGGTTAAAGCAACACCAGTAAGTACTAATGACAGGTGCCCTTCCACCCTGACCACTGGGTTAAAGCAACACCAGTAAGTATTAATGACAGGTGCCCTTCCACCTTGACCACTGGGTTAAAGCAACACCAGTAAGTATTAATGACAGGTGCCCTTCCACCTTGACCACTTGGTTAAAGCAACACCAGTAAGTACTAATGACAGGTGCCCTTCCACCTTGACCACTGGGTTAAAGCAACACCAGTTAGTATTAATGACAGGTGCCCTTCCACCTTGACCACTGGGTTAAAGCAACACCAGTAAGTACTAATGACAGGTGCCCTTCCACCTGGACCACTGGGTTAAAGCAACACCAGTAAGTACTAATGACAGGTGCCCTTCCACCTTGACCACTGGGTTAAAGCAACACCAGTAAGTATTAATGACAGGTGCCCTTCCACCTCAAACTGTGTGGGCCTTGTCTTCTTCACATTCATGTATTTTGGAGAAACTCTTCCCTATACATTTATTGTATAGTATATTGATGTATTGTTGTATGGTATACAGGTGTGTGGTTGTATGGTATACAGATGTGTGGTTGTATGGTATACAGGTGTGTGGTTGTATGGTATACAGATGTGTGGTTGTATGGTATACAGATGTGTGGTTGTATGGTATACAGATGTGTGGTTGTATGGTATACAGATGTGTGGTTTCATGGTATACAGTTGTGTGGTTGTATGGTATACAGATGTGTGGTTGTATGGTATACAGATGTGTGGTTGTATGGTATACAGATGTGTGGTTGTATGGTATACAGGTGTGTGGTTGTATGGTATACAGGTGTGTGGTTGTATGTATACAGATTGTATGGTATACAGTATACAGATGTGTGGTTGTATGGTATACAGATGTGTGGTTGTATGGTATACAGATGTGTGGTTGTATGGTATACAGATGTGTGGTTGTATGGTATACAGGTGTGTGGTTGTATGGTATACAGATGTGTGGTTGTATGGTATACAGATGTGTGGTTGTATGGTATACAGATGTGTGGTTGTATGGTATACAGATGTGTGGTTGTATGGTATACAGATGTGTGGTTGTATGGTATACAGATGTGTGGTTGTATGGTATACAGATGTGTAGTTGTAGTATACATGTGTGGTTGTATGGTATACAGATGTGTGTGGTTGTATGTGGTATACAGATGTGTGGTTGTATGGTATACAGATGTGTGGTTGTATGGTATACAGATGTGTGGTTGTATAGTATACAGATGTGTGGTTGTATGGTATACAGATGTGTGGTTGTATGGTATACAGGTGTGTGGTTGTATAATATACAGATGTGTGGTTGTATGGTATACAGATGTGTGGTTGTATAGTATACAGATGTGTGGTTGTATAGTATACAGATGTGTGGTTGTATGGTATACAGATGTGTGGTTGTATGGTATACAGATGTGTGTGTGGTATGTATGGTGGTATAATATTGTATGTAGTATACAGGTGTGTGGTTGTATGGTATACAGGTGTGTGTTGATGTATAGTATACAGTATGTGTGGTTGTATAGTATACAGATGTAGTTGTACATGTGTGTGGTTGTATGGTATACAGATGTGTGGTTATTATAGTGTATGGTTGTATAGTATACAGATGTGTGGTGTGTATAGTATACAGGTGTGTGGTTGTATGGTATACAGGTATTAGGTGTATAATATACAGATGTGGTTGTATGGTATACAGATGTGTGGTTGTGGTATACAGATGTGTGGTTGTATGGTATACAGATGTGTGGTAGTATGGTATACAGATGTGTGGTTGTATGTATACAGATGTGTGGTTGTATAGTATACAGTGTGTGTGGTTGTATGGTATACAGTATGTGTGTTGTATGGTTTACAGATGTGTGGTTGTATACAGATGTGTGGTTGTATAGTATATACATGGTCTAGATGTGTGGTTGTATGTAGTATACAGATGTGTGGTTGTATGGTATACAGTATACAGGTGTGTGGTTGTATGTATACATGGAGTATACAGATGTGTGGTTGTATGGTATACAATTGTGTGGTTGTATAGTATACAGATGTGTGTGGTTGTATAGTATACAGTTGTGTGGTTGTATGATCTAGATGTGTGGTTGTATGATATATACAGTGTGTGTGGTTGTATGGTATACAGATGTGTGGTTGTATGGTATACAGTGTGGTTGTATGGTATATACAGATGTGTATACAGATTGTATGGTATACAGATGTGTGGTTGTATGGTATACAGATATGGTATACAGATGTGTGGTTGTATGGTATACAGGTGTGTGGTTGTATAATTGTATGGTATACAGATGTGTGGGTGTGTGGTTGTATGGTATACAGATGTGTGTGGTTTTATGGTATACAGATGTGTGGTTGTATGGTCTACAGATGTGTGGTTGTATGGTATACAGATGTGTGGTTGTATAGTATACAGATGTGTGGTTGTATAGTATACAGGTGTGTGGTTGTATGGTATACAGATGTGTGTGTGGATTGTTGTATGGTATACAGTTGTGTGGTTGTATAGTATACAGATTTGTGGTTGTATAGTATACAGTTGTGTGGTTGTATGGTCTACAGATGTGTGGTTGTATGATATACAGGTGTGTGGTTGTATGGTATACAGATGTGTGGTTGTATGGTATACAGATGTGTGGTTGTATGGTATACAGATGTGTGGTTGTATAGTATACAGATGTGTGGTTGTATAGTATACGGATGTGTGGTTGTATGGTATAGAGATGTGTGGTTGTATGGTATATTGATGTATTGTATAGTAAACTGATGTGGGGTTATGTAGTTTATAGATGTATGGTTGTATGGTATGGTTGTATAGCATATTGATGTATGGTTTTGGTTTGGTTTATTGTTTAACACCACACTCAGCAATATTCAAGCGATATGGCGTCAGTCGGCAAATAATCAAGTCTAGACCAGACAATCCAGTAAACAACAGCCTGAGCATCAACCTACGAAATTGGGATATACGCTGACGTATGGCTGTCTAGCATATTGATGTATAGGTTTATGGTATATTGATGTGTGGTTGTATATCATGTTAATGTATGGCTGTATAGTAAATTGATGTATAGGTATAGGGTAAATTGGTATATTGTTGTATATCATGTTAATGTATGGCTATATAGCATATTGATGTATAGGTATAGGGTATATTGGTATATGGTTGTATATCATGTTAATGTATGGCATATTGATGTATAGGTATAGGGTACATTGATATGTGGTTGAATATCATGTTAATGTATGGCTGTATAGCATATTGATGTATAAGTGTAGGTAGTGGTTATAAAGATATTGGTTCGTATATCCGTTAAGATAGGCATTGATTAGGTGTACATGGATATATTGCACAATGTGTTAATGTTAATGTATGGTGTATTGATGTATTGATGGATAGGTATTGGTATATTGCTGTATTGCTGTATAGGTGATGTAAAACTAAAACTCAGTCAGTCAGTTAATGTATGGCTGTATAGCATATTGGTGTATAGGTATAGGGTATATTGGTATGTGGTTGTATATCATGTTAATGTATGGCTGTATAGCATATTGATGTATAGGTATAGGATATATTGGTATATGGTTGTATATCATGTTAATGTATGGCTGTATAGCATATTGGTGTATAGGTATAGGGTATATTGGTATGTGGTTGAATATCATATTAATGGATGGCTGTATGGCATAAGTATATGGTATATGATTATATGGTTGTATATCATGTTAATGTATGGCTGTATAGCATATTGGTGGGGGCAGTGATGGCCAACATACGCACATCTTTTGTGCAAATTGTGTGAGAAGAAAGCATGTTTACCTAAATTGCGAACACCTGGTGTCGTCACTGATCCATTCTGTTAGTGTCCGTCACTGGTTCTCCCACCGGTATCTATTCCTGCAATAATGATGTTGTGATGTTCCAGGGCTACTTCTCCATCATGTGGGGCCTGGAGACAATGCCCCTAAAGGAGCTAGTGAGGATACCGGACATGGGCCAGCCCTCACTCTCACTTTTCTCTGTGAACGTCACCATACCAACTGACAAGTATGTACACCCTAGTCAACCCTGGCCAAGGTCCACTGTAGACCAGCAAGTACACCAGTGTCTGGGATTATACCGTCTCAAGTAGAATATTGTCAGTACTGAACTCTGTATATGATTCAGAAATGTTTCTATGATGACAAAGCGATAGTGATGTTTGACTGGAATCCTATGTATTCCTCAAACATATGTAACTGGCACTGTGTGAAATGCACACTAGGTTGTAACAGCACCATCTGTGTCTTTGATGTCTGTGCATAACCAAGTGTATGGTGGGTAGGTATAGTTTTATTTGCAATATATATGATTAGCAGAGTTTTATTTGCAATATATATGATTAGCAGAGGTTTTTTTTGGATTTCAAAACTATTATATCAGGAATAAGTAAAATATTTTGCGACCGTAATCCATATTTTTTTTATCCGAATTGTGAATTTTACGATACAGAACTTTATCATAAAAAGTTTTTGACCCATTGCTGTTCACTAGTCTAAGCTATAAGAACAGCGGAGGAATATCGCATGGAAGTGAATCGACCCACCAATTAAGGTCGGGGTTAGAATATTGATCTTCAGTAACCCATGCTTGTCGTAAGAGGCGACTAACGGGATCGGGTTGACACATGTCATCGGTTCCCAATTGCGCAGATCAATGCTCATGCTGTTAGTCACTGGATTGTCTGGTCCAAACTCGATTATTTACAGACCGCCGCCATAAAGCTGGAATATTGCTGAGTGTGGCGTAAAACTAAACTCACTCACTCACTTTACAAATGCTCGGGAGACCACCATATACTCATTATATATCGTACTGTATTCGTTAAATACAGATGAATGATCTCTGAAGAAACAAAAACTGTAGGTTACAAGCCTCTATATTGTGTACGGGAGTGTTGTTACCGTCCTCTAAATATCCTCTGATTACTTTCATTTCACACATTTCAGGCCCGGTAAAGGATATATTCTTCAGGTAAGTATCATCCTTGTGTCAAGTGTTATTTCACGTATTTACCGTTGTATATATGTTAACACATATAGCCCCCAGGGGGGTGAAAAACCCAAACCCAGCATCGGTTAACCACACCTTGTCACCAACTGTGTATATATGTACATACTCATCACGTAGATACAGTGATAACTATATACCTGTATTTCAGACGCAGTACATGACGAACAACCCGAAGGCCCCTCCAACATTCTACCAGTGTGGCGATATCATTGTCATGTAGACCCGGATTCTCCTTGTTCAGCATTTGCCCAAGGAATGATCAGGCACTACTTCGTTGCTTGATATGAGATACATTCTCCACATCTGTGTTATATATTGTTACGTTATATGTAGATATTGAAAATCTAAAAATGTCGAAAGCACTCGATCATGATACACTTACCGAACATTCTTGATGGTTTCAAATGGATACTACCTCGTTACAAACGCACAATAAGTCTTTTCATTCATGTATGTATATATAGTATATCAACATGTTTTCTACAATTGTTTTTATAAATCTATAATGAATCTTTAAATAATATATATATTTCTAAAATTGTGAGTTGTTATCATTCGGGCCGTAAGTTTGGTTGCAGTTAAGGTCGTACTCTGTAATATTACTCAGTACTGGTGAATGACGCAGGTGTGTAGATAGTCTAGTTTGGACCAGACAATCCAGTGACAAACATCACACAACACCCATCTACGATCATCTGAGATGCGATGAAAAGGCAGCAAGCTTAACGCACAACTCTTTGTATCGTTCCTTAAATATTTGCCAGAAATATGACGACGGTATAAATAGATACTTCTAGACTGACAAACTGGTCTAGAGTACGTTGTTCGTGTAATGTCAATCCGTTTTCTTTCCGAGGGGACCTCAAAATGCCACCCTTCTCTGAATCTGTTTTACGCCGCTTTTCAATATTCCAGCAACATCACGGCGGGGACACCAGAAAGGAGCTCATTGTGCCCAAAACGGGTCTCGGCGTGACGAGCCAACCTTTAACCATTAGGCTAAACGTCGTTTAAATAAATGTGTAGGCGATATTGAGTCAGTTTATTCAAAGTGTTTGTAACGTTTGCTTTTATACAATATGTTGCGTACACGAAGTCTGATTATGATATCCATATCCAGTACATTCTGCACAACGCCTTGAACTCCTAGATATAAGACATTTTCCCGTTTAAAAACTTTAAACCAGAAAAATTCTTAAAATCTTTACGTCCGCTTCGACGGGGTTTGAAGACAAGTCCGAAGGGGCTGTCTAATGCATTCCTGAAATATTGAACGGATATTCAGGTGAGTGTTTGAAGAGTATTCATTATATGAGTGAGTGACCGAGCTTATAGTTTTACAATATCACGGTTGGGGATTCCAGAAACGGGCTTCGCACCTTGTGCATGTCTCGGGAGTAGAACTTGAGCTTTAGACGCCTTCAGTGCGACCGCTTTACCGTTTGGCCATTTAACCACCCCGATTTGTGTGACGACAGTCAGGAGGGGACCATTTTTCACCAGTGTATTACATTTCCGCAGTACCTCACAGATGATTGTATGCAATTTATTGACACTAGATGTTCACAAGGTTATTGGTGCGTCATTGAGTTCAACTTCTATTGAAGTCGTTTTCATTTTCTGCTGTCCTTCTTCGATCAGTATATGTGCTCGGGTCATGTTTTACCTGATGTGAACAACTACAGCATGTTTGCACACTTCAAATACAGATTTCTGAAGAGACGCCGCCGTATAAATCATTAACATCTATTTTCTTTAGGGGAATAGTTTTGCGCTTCACGCCTAGAAAATTGTCTCCGTATATTTATTGATGCCATTGATTTTCCCACTGAGTCAGTACATAGATTTTTGCACATTTAAAGGAAATTCCTTTTTGATACTTGCATCAAACAGTTTTCAGGCCAGGTATAGTTAAGCAGTGTAAGAAACTAGATAATGTTTTGTGAGAAGATCGATGAGATTGGTGGTGAATATTGAAAAAATATTAATATCCCATCTATTTCAGAAGGTACATAAAATACACTTTGTATAAACACTAATTTCATTAAACCACATCTTAGGTCTCGCTTCCGCTAAAGTTCTGAGGACACCCCGACATGGGTCAGACCGATCTTTCAGCCGCCAAATCAGATATTCAGGAAACCAGATCAGAAAATGGTAGTCAGAATGTTTTTTCATGCAATCAGAAAAAGTTAAAACGGCGTAGAAATCAAAATATTTTCCTAAGTGGACTGGGAGTCGCCAGTTTGAAACTAGTGACGTATAGCTTGAGAGAGCTGCTTTCTAATTAGCTAATATCGGAATCTTTTTAGCCATTTCATTGCTTGATCAAAGTGTGAAAACGGTTGTTCTTACGTGAGCCGTAACTGGATGTACTCGGATCTTGTTTAGCGGTATAGCGAGAACTAGGATCTGTTTATAATGCGACAGGCCGAAACCCGAGGCGGCCATGCGACATATAAATAACTTTGGGGATATTCCTGGGGAAAAAGATATGTTTGATAGATCGCGTATTTTTAGGCTGGGGCTTCAGTAGAGGACCAATATGCAGAGCTGGAGACCGTTCCACACAATGGTGAGGCACTGCCTATGTCAACGTTTTAAAGGAGAACTGGAGGTGAATGGTTTCTAAGTTCCATGTTGCATAAATCCATGCAACCTTCTTCATTCAATGCCGTCATTTCGTGTAAACATTAGGGATTATTATAGCAGAGGATGTCTCTGATTATATAAAAAAAAGTGGAACACGACAAGTGAAAGTTAAGATGCCGCCATCTTTGAATTCAGGATGGCAGGTGCCATTGCCTTGGTCTGGCAGCTGTAAATTTGATGGGCTTTGAGGGAGAAGACATTGAACAATTTTCGATCTCATTAAAAGATTTATTTCGATACTACATTTATTCTGCCTGCGTTGAGATCAGCTGCGGATACTATTAACAGGCCTTGTCACCTATAGGAATGACAAAGGATAGTGGATTTTGAGGCCCCCAAAGTCAACCCAGGCTGGACACATATATTTCTTTGATGGTATTCCCTTCGCTATTCAGCTTTCGGGTGTTGCTGTTAGCAGTTTGTAAGGCACAGCTATTAAGAATCTCGTATGTATTCGTCTGAAATCAGACCGTCAGCCACATTTGCATTCTGTAGGGTACCTTGTCCCCAAGGTCATGTGTCCAGAACACCTCTGACGAAACATTTGTTCGTTTCTCGTCCAGTGGACGAAGCAGACGACCATTGGGATTACACTCTGCGCATGCGTCAAACCAAAATCCGCTTCCGTATTTGACGGCACAACTTCCGGCATCATTGTCGTTATCCCTGTCGTATGTGCTGAATGCAGAACCTTTTAGCGGAGTTAAACAGTCTCCTATTGGTCTCATTCTGTTGCCACGTGACTCCGAAAAGTACATACGATAACCATCTGCCTCGTCTGAAAGGTAAAAGTTGTAGTAGTACTGTTGCTTGAAAGAATTATCACCAAATTTCATTTCAATCTTCAGTGTAAAGGTCCGAGGTTTACAAATGTGGTACAACTTCTCCAGTCCCAGCCAGTGATCTTTGTCGGTCAACCCGAAACCGTCACGATATTCTGCCCAACTCCGGTTGAAGTCGACAGTGGCAATTGGTGTTTCCATACGGTACTGGATAAATGTTCTTCCATTAAATCCCATGATACATCTCACCGGAAACGGCGTAGATGTAGACGTTGGCTGGATGCTGTAGTAGCCGTCGGGATAGCCGAAACCAGAATAATATCCTTCACTGCAATCTGAAACAACAACAACAACAATAACAACAACGACAACAACACAAACACAGGAGGAGGGAAGAAGTACGTATGTTACAATATGTCCTGGTATTTATGACGGCACGATCAAGTCAAACATGATTAATATACTTTAGAATTTAAAATATATGAAAAATTGATGAATGCAATTAAATACTTTGGGGAAGCATTATCTATTGAAATAATTCCTATAATGTCTTTACATTTCAATGGTTCAATGTCTCAGAACAAAGGAGTGGTGGGGGCATATGGTTCCGGGGTCAGAAGAAATGGGCAGTTGATATATTTGATAACCGATAGGGCGGTGGGTTAGCCTAGTGGTTAAGTCTTTGCTCGTCAGTTCGATCACTCAACATGAAAAAAACGTGAGGTACAATGTAAGAAGCCCATTTCTGGTGTCCCCCACCGTGATATTGCTAGAATATTGCTAAAAGCGGCGTAAAACCATACACACTGACTGATAACGAGGCCACGGAACTACGGACACATTACGTCAACATTACGTGCAAGACACCTACACTTGTTCCACAAAGGATTCGTCCTGTTCTTTACCCATAACTAACGATTGTCATAGCGAACGTGGTTTTCTGCTTCCTTTGTTTAAAAGACCACTGTAAGATTGTATCTATATCCTGGGGTCTGTACCAAGCAATCTAGTGATTCATATCCCGCGCATTGATCCACGCAACTGGGATATGATGAGGGGCGGTGGGGTAGCCTAGTGGTTAAAGCGTTGGCTCGTCACGCCGAAGGCCCGGGTTCGATTCCCCACATGGGCACAATGTGTTAAGCCCATTTCTGGTGTCCCCCGCCGTGATATTGCTGGAATATTGCTAAAAGCGGCGTAAAACTAAACTCAGTCAGTCAGTCAGTCAGTGGATATGATGACAAGCATATCAACCAAGTCCGAGAGTCTGACCATCCGATCCTGTTAGTCACCTCTTGCAAGCATAGGTTCCTGAAAATCAGTTCAGGGTTAGTCATTGCGAATGTCCCTTTAAGGAACGATTCCCATTAACGTATGAAAACACTTCGCGAGAATTCGGCCTTTGTGTCTTCTGGATGTCGGACTGTTTTTTTAAAGACACATTCTGTATTTCGTATTTTGAAAATATAACATTAATGTATATTTTCTTAGCATGGGGATTATTTCTAAAGCGTTCAACTTTCCTTCAGTTGATTAAGGATTCAAAAGTATGTAGAAAACTCATGGTATTTTACAAATGGTTGTTTTTCTTTGTGACTAGCATGAGTGAGTGAGTTTAGTTTTACGCCGTTTTAGCGTTATTCACGGCGGGGGACACCAGAAATGGGCTCACACATTGTGCACATGTGGGGAATCGAACCCGGGTATTAGGTATGACGAGAGAACGCTTTAACCACTAGGCTACCCTATGACTGGCATGACTCACACTGGTTGAGGAATCCCATTGGCCTCCATGAATTCAATGTTCCTGGCGCACAATCATACAGCACACACCCCAAGAGGCATCATAAGCTCAGGCAACAGTACGAACTACTAAGTACTAGTTACTTTGCAATGGGGGCGGTGGGGTAGCCCAGTGGTTAAAGCGTTGGCTCGTCACGCCGAAGACCCGGGTTCGAATCCCCACATGGGTACAAATTGTGAAGCCCATTTCTGGTGTCCCCCGCCGTGATGTTGCTAGAATATTGCTAAAAGCGGCGTAAAACCAAATTCAGTCAGTACTTTGCAATGGCAGTTAACGAAACAATACGAATGTTATACTTTTCCCCCATTACAAATGTGTGTAGAGATTGCATGAATAATACATTCTCTAGGTTACAATAATTTCCATTAAATATGTAAATGAATTCATGTATGATTTCGTTTTGATTGACAAGAATGGTTTCACCATCCTTATAGTATAACGCCCAAATCTAACAGCAGTCCACCCAAAGGGATACCTATACACGTGTATATCGTTATCTACAGCATCGCAGGGGCGGTGGGGTAGCCTAGTGGCAGTCGTCACGCCGAAAGGGATACATGGGCACAATGTGTTAAGCCCATTTCGTGTCCCCGCCGTGATATTGCTGGAATATTGCTAAAGCGGCGTAAAACTAAACTCAGTCAGTCGTAATCTACAGCATCGCCACGGGTTTGTAAACAATATGTTCCTCCGCCACCCGTGAATACACATGCGTATCTCTGTTAACAGGAACGATATTTTATGGACAGACAAGTTCTTTATAGCAATGGATGCGACGGTTAGCTGTAGATGCTGACACCTTTATCAAGCAAGTCATCATACTTTCTTCTAAATGCCACCCAAAGAAGTTGCTCTGTAAAAGTCTACTTTAATTTTCTAATCACCACACATAGTGGCTCTAACTATTCCGAGGGGAACAATTGCATATCTTCGAATCAAGTGACGACTGGTTCCAGCGATTTCTTCGACCAATCAGCGCTAAAAGATGCTTCAATATATCGGGCAGTGGTACAGTTTGCAAAATGTTTAAACCCTATAGTATACGACACGAAGGTTATAAAAGGCCCTATTCAAGTATGTAGAGGGAACGTAGTGCATATATACATCTACAGTATACCTTCAATACAATATCAATGCTCTGATAAATACATCGTTATCGGAGTTTGATCGGCCACCTTGACAACATCAATGTAGAGATACGAACATTTCTTTAGAATATATAATTATTATATCTGAGCCAATACTAAGTTCAATAACCGATTTACAGAACGTCAGTACACAAAGGAGTAACACTTGGTCGATATACCCAGTTTATGTGACTGAGAGTTCATGGAACCTTAAACAGAGTTGAGTCTCTAAGGCACGCATGGGGGTCATACTATGGCCTGGAGCCAAGGGGGGAAACAGTTCCGTACATTTTAAGTAGGGCGAGGCGATTGTTTGTCATGTGTTGTAGGCTGATGTTATATATGAGTGTAGCAAAATGTTCAAGTTAAAAACGTCTTGGAATCTTGATACTTTTGAATAAGTTCCTTCCTTAGCACCCGTCATCCGCCAATGTGCATGAAATAAACAGGTTTGTTCGTTACTTGCATGGGCGCAACTAGGTTATTTTCAAGAGTAAGCAAAACCAATTGTCCAAAGGCGTGAAGAGCCCGAACATGCTGTTAGATTTTATTTGTAACAAATAGTGGAAATGTATTTATCATTTTTAAATTAAATATATTCGTATTTCACGGACACATTTTCGACTTTCATTCAAGAAACATGTGATGAAAATTGACGTTTGAACATTAACACGAAATTATTAATTGTATGTTTTTTCACATGTTATATATTTTTTTTCATTTTTAAAACGAGACGACCTATCATTATAATGACAATATTTGTGAGAGCGCGGTTTGCTTACTTTGTAAAACACTCACTATGAAGGGCTACCTGCTAGCCTGAATGAAATAACAATAAGTATACATGGAGTTATATATACTTATTTCCTTATCTCATTACTTCATTACTGATATCTCAAAGCAAGATGATCTTAAAATACAGCAAATGTTGTATTTGTATTTTTTAATTCAACTTTGAAATGAACACTGAAGACACCAGAAGCTTCATCAGCTATCAAAGAGAAACACTTGACCCATGTCATCGCATCCTAATTGCGTAGATCGCTGCCCATGCTGTTGATCACTGGATTGTCTGGTCCAGACGTGATTATTTTCAGACAGCCCACATATAGCCGGACCATTGCTATGGGCGGCGGTAACCCGCCAACCAACCAACCTTATGCACGATACCAATGTATGAGACGGGCTTGATTTCTAGTCGTGTGAAAAGTGAGCACATGCATAACATATTACACCATCTTTTGATGGAGGGTGTCTGAGCCATTGGTGTCCCCGGAATACCTTTGGAGTAAGAGTCAGTTAGACGCCTAAAATATGTCTTTGTGGAAATTGAAAATTGCTATCAAATGATATTGCCGCATTGCTCCGAATAATTTTCGAGTGATCTTCCGAAGTCTGTAGCACATGTATGGCACAGCAGTCTATAAATACCTATGTGGGTTCCTTTACAAGATTCCTTTCCTTCATAAACTTTAATAGTATCTGCCATTGTAGGCTCTGAAGCTGATTCTATGGGTGAGTCTGTTATGTTGGAATCGCTCGGCATGGTGGTTTTGGTTTTTAACACTTTCTCCCTTGCCCAAAGAATCGATTGTTCTATAATGCACCACTTAATTCGCTTTGCTGCTAATTTTAGTGCTGGTCATTGCTCGATAATAGGAGCTCAGCAATCGATCAAAAATCTATTGTAATCGTAAACCCCACCAATAAACTCATCTAGGCAATTAACGCAACACTATCATAAAACTGTACAAACGAAACAAAAATAAGAAACACGCTCTCTGAAGTTTGATTTGATGTTTCATATTTTATGAATATCGATAAGAACACAGGGGCTTGTAACTCTAAAAACTGCCATCAAGTTATACACAGCTATCACAAACGGGGTCTTTGGTATAGTACTAAGACCCCGTCTGTGACAGTAAATAACTTGATTGACCGACCATTCGATCAATCGCACCAGCACTACTCATTTTAGGATAATTAATTCAGAATATCATGTTAAAAAGACTTAAGTTACTTCCAGAGCACTCATCGGTTTGTCATATATCTGCAATGGAATGTCACGATGATTTAAACCAGCCTTTCTGACGATCTGTATTTAGAACTATTTACAACGTGCGCCGCGCCAACAAAGGGACACCACTCTTGAAACATCATAAAGCATTTACCAAATCCTTTAAAGCCGAAATATTCCAATTTTCAAATTAAACCAAAAAAATTATGTTCGACCGTGGAGAGCTTAAATTAGTAATATACTGCATAGATGGTAAAGTGGCTTTATTTTAACATATTATTGTGCCCTTTTTACGAGTAAACACAACTTTTGCTCTTTTTGAGATGTGAGCAAATGCTTTTCATGTTACAATGGTAGTTTCACCCCTGGCTTGACGCCGCGTGGTCAACACGTGATGACGGCAAGTCAGACAATCAAGATATGAAAAAAGCTCAAAAGGGGAAAGTGTTTGTTGTGAGCGTGGTATAAAGCTTTTTAGAATCAAGACAATCTTTGAAAGCTTCTTGATTTTAGTTATTTATGACAGAAGTGAACACATGTTGATTTAATTTAGTTCTTTAAATGGTGGTCTGATGTATACCATGCTACGAACACCAGTTGTAATTAGTTATTTCACTGATTCTTTGTCAGTGTTTCTCCTTCCTGCTGTCAAACACAGGTTTCCAGCAACTTTAACAGTATTTTAGATACATTTTTCGAAATCATAGAAATATTTGAGGAGACAGGTCCGTTACCATATTTCGATGGCATCGTACCTATAGACCATGGATCATAAGTAGGGTATTTCTAACGGATCATAGCACAACTCAGCGCAGGAAGCCGTACCGACACACGCGGATGAATAACATATTCCGGGATAAAGTAAACTTTTCATGTTCTGAAGTAACTTCAACATGATGGTCTATTTAATGTTATTAATGATTAAATTTATACGCTGTTAAAGAGAGAAGAATAGTGGCAAGACTGTTACACTTACCTGTCATCAAACGTTCGCACTTCGTACCCACGTAACCATTGACGCACTGGCAGGTAGAGTCGGGTTGTAGAATACCGCCATTTTCACATTCTTGAGCCTAAAATATAGATAATACACAGCAAATGACCGAGCTTACCAATGAAAAGATATTACACCTACAAGTAATTAAAGTAATATTCAATAGATGTTGACCCATCACAAGTGGAATGCGGTTTGCTGTTCAAGACGATGTTCTTTTATGTTTATGCATTATGGGCATCCATATATAATGTATACATTCATTTTTCTCTCTGTTGCGCAGCCTTATTTGCGCTACAGTTTGCCTGTGCACGACGGGAAGCCCCTGCGCCGCAGGGAGCTTGAACATTGAGATGGGCAAAATATCCACGCGATCACTGGGATATATTTCCAGTTTTTAACCACTTCAGCGGGATTCTGGACATTTATCGAAACGTCGCCAACCATTGAAATTCAGGTTTTGTTCATACATTTAGCTCCTTACGATTGAATGCATCATTTTCTAAATGTATGCATGAAAAAATGAAAAACGTATCGCAACACCTATATTTAGTAGTTCGCATTTCGCCATTTATGTTCATATCATACATATGTTTGTTTGTATGATTATTTTGTCCCTTCGCACGTACCATACATTGATTATAGATGTGCACGTGTGGCGATCAAAGGCGAGCATCACGTGCAATACATGTACTCGTTATTAAGCAGGTATTAAGTTTCAGTAAACTGTTTTCACTGCTCGATAATCAATTGATTTCTTTGCTTGTGGGGTCTCCTCGGGTGACAACTGCTCAAAGATTGCAAGTCTTTGGTATGCGGAATTTTGGCATCTCACTGTTCGAAGAGATGATGGTTGTCATCCATCGACTATCAGCCTATTGGTCAGATTATATACCTCAAAATCTTGAAAATCATCGCATTTGTTACCGTCATACGACCATAGTTGTCAGCTCTACGAAATGAGTCAGTTTGTTGCCATGAATACTTCTCTGAATAAACTGCAGTTTTTCATTCTTTTTGTGTTAATATTTGCCATTTAATTATTACTTGAGGGTCAATTTATCCAGATAGTAAGTCAAACTGAGGTTGGTTATGTTCTTTGCTATAGTAAATGGTAACATACTGATACTATGAAAACAGGTGGGGTGTTGCAATACGTTTTTCCAACTGTATATATTAAATGAAGTTAATTTACAATATTTTTAGTAGTTTATTCTATGAAATTAGTTTTGCAATCAAATATATTTCTAAAGTTTTCAAGGGGCCGTGGGGTAGCTCAGTGGTTAAAGCGTTTCCTCTTCACGCCGAAGGCCCGTGTTCAATTCCCCACATGGTTACAATGTATGAAGCCCATTTCTGGTGTCTGCCGTCGTGATATTGCTGGAATATTGCTAAAAGCGGCGTAAAACCCAAATCACTCACTCTAAAGTTTGCAAAGGTTTGCAATCAACTTTTGCATAATGCGGGTAATATATAGGTTTGTTTTCGATGTAATTTTGATTCACTATTTAACATTTATAACATTAAGTGTTCGCGCAAACATATAGCGTAGAACCTGTCGCAAACAAAGGCGTAGTTCACCGGAAATTGCACCAGACACAATTTTTGTCATTGATTTGGATATTTGGAAATGTGTATCGCAAATGTCATGTTTAAAATATTTTGGAAACTTTACCATGGGCTTGACTGAATTATTTGTTGTTCAACGCGACACTTAGCAATATTCAAGGTACATGGAGGCGGTCTGTAAACAATCGAGTCTGGGCCAGGAATCTACACGATAAATTTCTGTTTCTAAAAATACTTTAAATTCATAATATACTAACGGAAAAAGTAACTGTACATGACATAAAATTGCATAAAATACAAGTTAATTGAAAAGTTTTAAACATATCATATCGATAAACGAATCATCCATGATTATGTTTACATTAAGTTTTAATCGAGTGCATGCGATGGTAGCGTAGCGATCGGCAAAGCAGTCGGCCGGCGTGCACCGAAGTGTCCGGCCTCGTCATATTACTGTGAAGCATTTCGAGTCGGGGGTCATCTCAAAAATAATATTTTTTAAATCATTAATCCTCGCAAAGACACGAGGGCCTGTGATTGTCAGTGGCATTCTTACAGGTCAGATGAGATTATTGGGCCTCGCGTGAAGCCGTCCATTCAAGGACAGAGACGTAACTTTACGCTTCAGTACGATAATGCCCGTCCACATGTCGCCCGTGCTGTGACACATTTCCTGAGACAGCAGAACATCCCAACAGTCCCCTGGCCAGCTGTTTCTCCGGACCTCTCTCCCATGGATCACGCTTGGGGTGAAATGGAGCGACCTTCACGTCAAGCCTAGGATCAGCCATTGGTGTTAGCTGAATTGGGACACACGTTGGTTCAGACATGAAACAACATCCCCAAAGCTTTCTTCAATCGCTTTATGTGTGTCGTCTATGCGTCGTCGTTGTCAAACTTGCATCAACGCCATTGGTGGACACACTCGATTACTGAATTTGTGAACTGACTTTTGACACCACATCTCATCAAGGGCGTGTCACGACGCCTAGTGTCAAATCATACAGATTTCGATATCATTCTGTCAACACTTAAAACACCACAAATCATGTTATTATATTTTTGCATTTAGAATGGCATGGCATCAACTACTTTATGCCAGTAGTATAGGTATCATGTTTGGCTGTTTGCCGAGTTTGGGCTGTAAGTGATGGTCATACTTGCTTAAAAACTTTAATAAACATATCTGTAGAACCAACCCCTTGATGTTCCCAAACACAGCCCTGAACTGTACAACAACTATTTAACATCTTAACACCAAGAATGTCTTCCTACTTTATCTAAAGTTTACAGTGAGTGAATTCAGTTTTACACGCTTTTAGCAATATTCCAGCAATATCACGGCGGGAGACACCAGAAATGGGCTTCATACATTGTAACCATGTGGGGAATCGAACCCGGGCCTTCAGCGTCACGAGTGCATGCTTTAACCACTCGGCTACCCTACGGCCCCTTGAAAACTTAAGAAATATATTTGATTGCAAAACTAATTTCATAGAATAAACTACTAAGAAATATTGTAAATTACTTCATTTAATATATACAGTTGGAAAAATGTATCGCAACACTCCACGTATTGGAAATATAGATTCTGCAATTGAGATGCTACATAGTAATACAGGAAATGTGAAAGACTAAATCTAAATTACAGGACTGCATCCAGAACATTCCATTTTCTGTAAAAGTGTTTCATATTGTCGTCATTTTTATCAATAAATTTCTCAATATCATAAACGTCCTTTCATTGGCTTTTGTCCGAAAATATGGCGCTTTGCCAGAAATATCATGTGGTTAATTAAATGGTTACCACTACAACAGTTGTTAAAATATGCCAAGAACATTTTGATGGTTGGACAATCAAGGTATACATGGTAAATATCCTCACTTACTGAACAACATAATGCACATAGGTCATTATCTATCAATTTCATTTTTAGTAGTTCTCGTTTAGTGTAAATGACTCTATGAAAAACTTCTTATATTGAATATCTAAGAGTTTCCTGTCTCCAGTGGATTGTGACAGGGATTTGGCTTTCCATCTGTCGGAACCATCAATAATATTTATCCCTTTGTACGGATATTGTGGAGCTTTGGAGTCCAGTACAATACAGAAAAATGGACACAGCGTCAGACGCAAAGAGTCTGATGCAGACCCTATAAACGATACCGGGGGCTATTCTGACCGGGAAAACTATGTAAGGCAACATAAACATTGACAGTACACATATGTGTAGTGCATAAGTCAGGAAGTACACCCGTACCTTTACGTAGTACATCATTTCCGTACTGGGTTCCATCTTTGAGCAATCCCCTTGATCAGAATCTGTGTTGAGATGGCAAATCCTCAAAGTGGAACCGTGTTGAAACGACTTGCAGGAATCGTCCTCAGAACATCTTCTTCCGCAGTCCAACTTACTTACATCACGAATTACGAATAATATGAACTGACTCTTCATGATCTGTCCAGGACACGAGTCCAGAAGAAGGTAATTGTCTGTGTGTATCATATACACTGGTGCCAGGAGAATAACTAGGATATAGCACGAAATATACATCGCTTGTAGTTATCCACGTTTCACCTGTAGAATAAACCTTATGCTTATCAACCAGAGAGGTCTACAGCGCGCGCTGTCTTGTGTACAGGCAATTTCAGTTTAACTAAATGTTTCTGCGCCGTGTGCATTTGTGTCGTCGGTAGTAAGTCTTCCAGTTTCCTTCAATTCTACAGTAATTATCTTGCACCGTATACGTCTTCGACAAATTCGAGATCCAGCTACATTAACGAGTGCAACAGCTGATTTCCAAGAGGAACTTGCAATGATTCGATGGCGAACCGTTATAAGTATCTAACAAGTTCTTTGATGCCAGATACGAGTATTTGTTGCCTTGAAAGCACAGGATGTTTCTTTTTGTCAGATCCGGCCGGTGGAAATTACATACACACATTGATGTTGATGCTATTAAGCTGTCACCTAGCATATACTGAGAATTTTCGCTATTGATTGGTAATCCACAAGAATCGATTCGGGGATGGGGTGGTGGGAGGCATTTTGCATGGAGACTTGTAAATATTTTCAACCTATGTGATAGCGAACTGTCCAATCGCATTAACCAACCAGGGCTGGGCTTGTGTCTGTAGGATAGTGTCTGTCTAGTGACATAATGAGTGAGTGAGTGAGTTTAGTGTTACGCCGCACTCAGCAATATTCCAGCTATATGGCGGTGGTCTGTAAACAATCGAGTCTGGACCAGACAATCTAGTGATCAGCAATATGAGCATCGATCTACGCAATTGGGATACGATGACATGTGTCAACCAAGTCAGCGGGCCTGACCACCCGATCCCGTTAGTCGCCCCTTAGTGGGCTTACGACAAGCATAGGTTACTGACGATCAGTTCTAACCCGGATCTTCACGGGTGCCATGATAGGGCTGAAATATGTTCAAGGTATATGACACGCATTGTGACTGACCAAGTCTGACCACCTGGCCACCGGTTCTGTTTGTCTATCGACAAGCGAATCCTAAGGACCTATTATCATCCAGGTCTCTGGCTAGATTAAATAAATGTACTTAACCCTACTTAAATGCTATACATTTTGCTTGAATAACATATTTCAGAAACGAAGGAAAGTTTACATAATGTTGGTTTCAGCAGATATAGTGAGGATAACGCGTATATCCACACTGTTTAGAAACCGGAGCAATTATAGCTACCTGATTCCCAGCTTTCATCGACCTGATGTAGCTACTCTACTCCAAAACGTCGTGTTCCTCATGTTTCAGAAGTTGACATCCATAAACGTCCCCCATTATGGGCATGACTTCTAAATAACAGTCAAAGAGTTACGAACAGTTGGCACTATAACTAACAATCAGCTAAAGGATAAATGAGCGAATAAAAAATTTATACGCCGCCTTTTAAGAGTCCAAATTAGATATTTTCTTGCAAATAAAACCCGACGGTTAAAACAATCTATCCCTTTCAACAAGACCCTCTTGCTTGATAACAGCATATTATAGGGCTTGGGCGAGTAGGAAAACATGGAATTGAGTACCCGTATGTACTTACCCGAATCGGAATCGTGTACCCGGAATTGTAAGGAATACATTCGGGTCAACTTTCTGGATATTCAATCACGATTTTACAGAGATTATTATAGAAAACTTGAAAAGGTGGTAATAAGACATTAAAACTGACTTCAAGCTATTTAATTTACGCCTGTTTAACCAATATAGAGGGTAACACCATTACTTACATTCCTCGTTATAACAACGAACGTTTTGTTCCTGCTGCTACTGTAACTTAACTACTCACAACTCATGTACAGATAAATTAGTCATTAAAACTATGCTCCATTAATTGGACAATACCAATGATGTAAAAAACCCGTGAAGGTCCGGGTTAGAATATTAACCCATGCTTGTCGTAAGAGGCGACTAACGGGATCGGGTGGTCATGCTCGCTGACTTGGTTGACACGTCATCGGTTCCCAATTGCGCACATCGATGCTCATGCTGTTGATCACTGGGTTGTCTGGTCCAGACTCGATTATTTATATTGAGTGCCACGTAAAACTAAACTCACTCAGTCACTCAATGATGTAAATGTGTGTTACGTCAAAAATGAAAAAGACAAACTATTCTCTGCCCTTGTCATTACAGAACTCTTTCCCTTTCCGGGTACCCGATTCCTAGAAATAGGTACCCGACCCGGATTCGAGTACCCGTCCCAGCCTTACATCATAAGGATCTAAATAGAGCTATATAGGTCTATGAGCTGTTTCTCGGTTTATATAGGTCTCAGGGGCGTTTCAATGGTCATTTAACAGACTTTCAGCACATAAGGGGGGTGCGCACCCCCCCACCCCCCTCTGGATCCGCCTATGCGGTCTTCTAAAGAAACGTCGCGTCATAAGGAGACCTAAGACTACCTATGACGATGTGCAGCGCTGTATACAGGAGACAGGGGCTGACGAGTGTTGACATAATTAAGCGACTTCGGATGCGGAAGTGTGTCGGTGTCACGTTGTGCTGGTGGATGCGAAAATGATTGATGCCAACTTTCATTCAAGTGAATAACAACAGCCTGATGGTATGGTGTTTACGTTGCAACTGACGCATGCAGGAGACAACTCACTTGAAGAATGACATGTCAGACATGGACAGCTGACGTCACATCTCTTCAACCAATCAGAATTCAGAAAACGTTTACTTGTCGTGACACTCTGTGTATAGTTTCCCAAGTTATTACCTATCTGGTGTATATAAAGACGCTGACAGCGACTTGATTCTCATAACAAGACCTTTCTGCCGAATCTCGCACGGTGTCGACATATTACAACGACCAGGTATGATTTAAATATAATATTTCAATTATTTAAGTACACATGTATAATGAATTAGACCCATCTGTACGTTATGATAAATCTCATTTCAGTTTTGCGGTTTACGTTGTCCATATTTGTTTTGAGTAACCCGCCTCCTGCCCACCCTGAATTTCATTCCGATGTGAATTAAAATATGGTTTTCTATCTCAATTGTTCTCGGTACTGCGAATATTAATGCCCCGATATGATGAAACAATACCCTTACTCTTGCACTCTCATACCCCCTCGCTAGCTCAGCTTGATCATCATTGAACTATATTTATTTCAAATAAAATTCCGAGGGAACATAAATTTAAACATTATTAGCATTATCATAAAACAAGTAACAAGACTTGTGAAAACGTGATATATTGTCTTTGGTTCGCCGGCCCGTCCGGTTTCCTTCTTGAAGATGATAAACACATAAAGACACACAGGTCGCCTTATACAATTATACCTTTAACTATATTTTAGTTAGATTCAACTAACTTATTCAAAGTCACAAACTAGTAAATTCTTCAATCTCATCTATATTTCTAAAATAATATATCTGACCGATTTTCGTACAGAAGAATTTTTTATTATAAGCTCAAAGAATGCAAGAGTAAGTGCAAGTACATATTTACCTGAGGGTGTTACTGACAAACGTTCCCCTAGCACGCTAAGCCACACTTACCTCACAGTCGGAGACACCTGTACCGTTGTGACTGACAGGTGACACATGGTCTAAGGCGTTGTGTCAGATGAAACGAAAGGTCATAAACTATCCCAACGTTTGTTGTTGCAGATAACAATATGGACATCAAAACAGTCCTGTGTGCCATTGCTGTTCTCGCCGCAGTTGAAGCGAGTTCGTTTATAGGTACGTACATTGACCATTTCAATTTCGTTTCCAAAGACCATTCTTTTCTCAAAGCGGTTGCATTTCATTGTGGCTTACAATTTTTTAATTCCTAAACTTTCAACAAAGTTTGCGGTCGATTAAATAACAATCATTCCTAGCGCTAATGCCAAGTGGACATTGTTACAATTTTCCGGGTAAACGAAAGTACACAAATACGCCCCATTCTGACCAAATGAACAGTTGGCCCTGAACCGGTATACGGATGCAGTACGACAGGAAAAATCATAAATTTGTAATGCATGAGACTGACCTGCCTTTCTCATACTGACACTTTTCGGCATACCTATTTCAAACTATTGGTTAATTGGTATTTACTTTTGGCATCTTATGATCCTGTGGACAGGTGCGCTTATGACTGATATTCATTCCATGAACATCTCCATCACTGTGCGATCAGTCTTATAAAGACATTAGTAACTCGATTTCACCGTAGTTGGAGACATATTGAACGACGATAATAATCGGTAATGTCAAGGATATAAAGTTTGGAATCACATCTTCATCTAAAGAATCCGTAGTCGAATCGTAGTGTTACTTCACAGAAATCACTCGTGTTTTCAGAACCGGTTCCAAGATGCTTGTTGTTTTGCCTCAATGGTATGGTCCCCGGAGAGTGTAAGTGTAACACGTGGCCCAGCCTTGGTGGCAGCCTGCTGGACAACCCCAGCGACAGGACACACCCCAAAGTCTCACCACGCTGCTTGGTAAGGAAGTAGCAAATGATTAATCAGTATTTTCCTATATACCCATCAAATGTTTAGACTCACTAGTGTAGATGTAGCCACTTACTTCAGTCAACTGTTCTAAACTAGATATGCAAAATATTCCATACTGTTTAAAAGTACTGTTTACACATGAATATATGTTATGTGTATATATATATATATATAGTGAGTGCTTTAAGTGAGTCTAAACTTTTGATGGGTAGTATTTTCAGCGGTGTCCTCCCATTTGTGAGAACTCCCAGTTGTGAGACACATTAATTAATGGTTCAGTGCACATAGGTGGTGTTTCCACATCCCTACAATGAAAGTGGGATCAGCCCAGCCCAGTACCCACAGGAGGCATAGTTCATTGAGTATTTTATTTATTCAGAAGAATATGTAATTATGATAACACATTTTTATTTTATACATATAAATATATACAGATTACATCAAATACAACTATTCTCTAAGTAACAATCTATTGTAATAATTAATATAAATCAATCACGAGAAGATTGAGTTAATTTCAGTATTTCCCTGTGAAACATGAAGGTTGTGTCTTGATGATATAATCGTGGACGGATTCAACTATTTTCTGGTTTACACAAGGAGTAAATTCTTTGTTTCCGTTCAAAAATATATAAGATCAATATAAATCTTGTTTTCGTTTTTTTGTAATTAGGTTTTAAAATTCTTTGAGACTGCATGACTCTTTGGAATTTGGTAGGGCATTCACTAAATGTATTGTGTCGGGTAGAAAGGGTTTGGCATAAGGGGCATTTCGACTGTAAATTTCAGAGTAATTTCAGAGTTATTTCTCAAACTATAGCTTGTAGTTTCGGAGACGGAGTAAATCTGAGTAGGTAAATTAATTTCTCTTTGATCACGAAGTTACCTACACAAAGTGTTTAATTATTAAAGACATTTACCTGAGTATGTTAATCAATTTATCCTATAAAGTTTCATTAAGTTACCTCCACAAGATTCAGTTACATAGCAAATCAGTAATTAGCTAGGGTGAATCCATTCTATCAGACAGGGGAGCATGGTGTGTTTTCGTTGTTAATTACCTACTCCACTGTCTCATAACTGGGAGTCTCACAACTGGGAGTTCTCACAAATGGGAGTAGACCTTTTCAGCAGAAATGATTGATTGTTGTGGCATGGCCACGGGCAAGGGCATTAGGCACGGCGATATATTGTCGTAATTTCAATAATGTTATCAATAATATTAGCTTTGTTTGTGATTATTGGTTTGTAAAACAGTGATCATTATTTTCTTATCATTTTTCTGAAACATCTGCGGGCTATTCTTCAACATTTGTTTTCTAGTTGAAAAAAAAAAATGAAATACAGTTCGCTCACTATTTTCAGATATGTTTATAATTGCATACAAAGATAACGCGTATGTTATATTGCATCTTCGGGTAAAGTTCTAAATTAATACTAAACAGTATACGTTCTTTAACGCTTGCTTGTGTATTACGCTGAACATTGTGTAAACAATGTGAGTAAATGAGTGTTTTTCGCGACACCTGTTTTAGAACTGGTCTTCAGAAACCCATGCTTTTCGTAAGAGGTGACTAACGGGTAGTGACGAGCCTGGGTGTAATATCTGATGCATGTTGCAGTATCCCAGCGGAGTAGATCGATGCTCATGATATCAGTCACTGGATTGTCTGGTCCAGACTCATTTTGTTACAGCTGAAAAATTGCAAGCACGGCGTTAAACAAGAAACAAACATAGAGGCAAACAAACATAATGTATGCATCAAATATTACAGTTCACGCGATGTGGAAAGAATTCCCGGTGCGTGGAGCGCTATGGAAGAACTGTGTGTGTTCCTGCATTCCACACATACGGTGGTGTCCGCCCTACACGCAGACCCGTCATGGTTGATGGTAGGTATACCAACGCTATTTACAGATGTGTTTCTTACGAGTGCGATATCAGCAAGGGTGGATAACAACATTTAGTTTTGTCACATTAAAAAGAGAGTTACTGCTCTTTTGAAAGTTTTGGGAAATATCCATCAGCACTCGCCTCTTTCCGCAACCCGCAATAAGATCCCTATTCGGCTTGTACGATAACACGATAACACGATGTTGGTCACGAAATAAATACATCGTTCAAATACCGAAGAGAGTTATCACCTAACCTCCAAATCATGTCTTTGATACGTCTGTTCCAGACAATTGCAGTCTTCCGATGGTGATCGGACGTTGTCGGGCTGCCTTCCGTCGCTACTTCTTCAACCCTGCCAGCGGCCAGTGTGAGCAGTTTCTATACGGCGGCTGTGGTGGCAACGCCAACAACTTCAAAACTCTGCAAGAGTGCCATCGCGTGTGTCGGCGTGTTCAACAGCCTGTATATTGAGAACAATTCCTGGTCAGTTAGCTCCATGCAGTTACAGTGCTGTTAATTCTATCATTAGGCTCAAGAATATGACATCAATACCTCAGGCTATATTAACATAGAAACCTGTAACAGGTAACCTCCCATCGGTGAAAGTAGGTGTAGACTTCTGTACCAAACACAACCGGATTTACACTGTTTACTTATTTAATTGATATTCTTCATTAATATGTACATCTGAATGGCACAGATAGAGGAATTAATCACACAAAAACATGCCTACATGTTTAGGCCAAGTGTTACATAAGTCTTCCAGTCGTTCAAGTTTGACTTGATGAGTTCATTGTATGTTGTTACACATTTCACTGGTACTCGTAAACATATAACACCATTAACGTTAGGTGTACATCTTTATCATAGCGATTTACCTTATTGATATTAGGTCTAATTAGGTAGACTGGAGCATAATATAATTTGGAACACCTTAAAAAGTTTTCAGCTAGTAAACACTGGTTGTCAAACAAGCAAGGATTGTACATGTGTAATACGGACGCTGTTGAGATATTTGGTAGACATATTGGACATGTCCTAAAGTCCATGTAAGAAATCCACCACCATCATTTACTGGTATTCCTTATTCCTCTTATCCCTCATCTGATTCCAATACAAATATTTTACAACACGAAAGTAAAAAAGGCTTCTACTATGTGTCGGGTCTTACAGAAAAATGCTCATTAGGGTTTGGGTCATTAACTGAGGAACTAAGGTATGCGTATTTGTGATATGTACGAATGTGTATATTTCTGGACGAAATTGGCTTTTTGAACGATTTACACAATATGTAATAAATGATTTTTATACTGCAACAAGTGTATTTTTTTTAAATGACGAGTTCGCCAGATTGCTGCCGCTTATCACCGCCTCCGTGTTCTACTCGGTAGACAGTCTGCCCGAAAAACAAAGTCGAGGGCTCGATCCAAAATGGAAGAGGCCACACCCAAAGACGTTAAAAACGTGTGATTACCCAGCCTGGCGCTATACCGGAGTTGAAGCCAGGGCTGGTCGGGCGCATAGTGGGGGACTATGTCTAGCTAAGATACATAGCGTTCACTGACATGAACGCTGTTTATGTCAGTGAATGCTATGTATCTTAGCTAGACTATGTCTAGACACGTTATAGTGAGGCGTGGTATCTCAGTGGCCTAGCACCCACAAACGTAGACACGCACGCATCCACATATTAATCTGGAAAGGAGTGAGAGGGATAAGGGCCTTTTACTTTCAAATAGCGGATGACTTACCCCTTCTGTTTTCACACTTATATACTTCTTGTCAAATACACAAGTATAGCTGAAGTAAGTGAAAAATACCAGAACAGTATGTTCCAGATGAACAGTCTTCCACGAGATATAAAACTGTTTAACTACAATCAGCAATCTGGATCGTTGTTGGTATATGGTTATACAATCGAAAACGTTGCACATGACGTATGTAAGGAAATGCGCTAATATTCTTAAACTGGGACACAACTGTCTTGCCTTCATTAGGCGAATGAATGAGTGATTTGTGTTTTACGCTGCGTGTAGCAATATCATGTAGCAAAACATATCTGTAGAACCAACCCCTTGATATTCCCAAGCACAGCCCTGAACTGTACAACAACTATTTAACATCTTAACACCAAGAATGTCTTCCTACTTTATCTAAAGTTTACAGTGAGTGCATTTAGTTTTACACGCTTTTAGCAATATTCCAGCAATATCACGGCGGGGGACACCAGAAATGGGCTTCACACATTGTACACCTGTGGGGAATCGAACGCGGGTCCACGGCGTGTCGAACACTTTAACCACTAGGCTACCTCACCGCCCCTACCTGCGTGAGACACAGAGCAGTCAAAGTAAACTTAGGCTCAGTATTATTCGTTACACTGCTATACTGAGTCTCAGTATAGCAGTGTAACGAATAATACTGAGCCTAAGTTTACTTAGACTGGACACAGAGTAAGCTGGCACAGTGGTGAAGCTGTATTGGTGAAGCTTATCATGAGGAAGACCATTATTCGAACATGGATACACCGATATTGGTTTTACTTGATGTGATCTAGCCTTGGCATCTAAATCATTAGTTCATTGTGGAGGCAAGGACAATACATGAATCTTACACGTTGGAGGTGAAATATTAAAGGAATTGTTTTTAGTAGTCCTCTCTTAACGTTTGCTTTATGCTGATTTAGGTAGAGTTCATACACACTATCCATTCATAATTTCCGGAGGGACACACAGAAACCGACGTCAGACTCAAGAATTGAACATGGCCTCGTTTGTTTTTTATATTGATTATGGATGATCTGTCCCCTTGAAACAATGCTGAAAGAACTTGGGGAAAACTCGGAACTTAAAAAAATTAACTCCCTATACATTCCTATGTATTTCGGAAATTACTCAAGTTAGGCTGTTATCGAAATACAACATTGTCTAAGATTGTCTCCCCTTACCTACAGTTTACATTATGCCGACGTCTGAATCAGTAATTTAATCTTTTAATCCTCTGATTTAAATAAACAAGGACACTTTATTCATTTTACTTGGTACTTGCCTTGCTGACACCGACAATAGTTCAGTAGTTTACGAATAATACTCTTCGAGTTGACAGAATTAATTAGGATAATATGTATATTTATATCAAAAACTTTAGTGATACAGAATATTTTAAAATGGCGACTGGATCTTCCATATTGTATGGTCATTCCAAAATCTCAAAAGGTATTATTTCCAGTAGTACGATGATCATTCAGTCTCTCACTAGGTTTTCAGCTACAACTGAACAGCTAAACAGTGGCTTAAAATAATATTAAATACCATTCACGAATGATCGGGTGATTCTAAACTGTACTTGTCAGAATATCTACTAAATATGCTAGTGGTATTGTATATGCAAATATGAATATAAACACTGAGCACATCTACACGTAGAGTATACGATATTTAGCCAGATAAAACTACATTGTGTAATTGACATTCATACAGACTCGCACCCACAACACACTTACATAAATGTTTACATAAATATGTATCTACTCACTAATAACACCAATTACGTAGATCAGTTCCCATGGTGTTGATCACTGGATTGTCTGGTTCCATTATTTACAAATAATCGTCACATAACTGGATGATTGCTGAGAATGGCGTTAAACAACAAATAAACAAACATACTCTAATAACATGCACAAATACATTGTATCCATAAATGCGGTCATATGGAATTCACAGAAAGCGTTCAAAATTTACGTAACACGCATAATTAACATAGATATGAACTTTTGCATGTACTCGTGAATATAATTTTAAAAGGAATGTTCGACAAAATGGAGATGTCAAGTGCCCTGATGATTATAAGTACATACACACGAAACAGAGCACCCTGTCTAACCATAGACCACAAAATAAATTATTTTTATTATATGGTCTCTGGCCTCACAGTCCCTGAACCATATAATATGCATATTATTTTCCGTTCCAGCCAGTACTTTCTATAATGCAAAACCCATGAATGAAGCATGCCTAGATATTCTTCTGGCTCTGATTTGGGCACATTTCCAATTTAAATACAGTTGTGTGTTTCTGTAGAAATCATGTATTTCCATGCATTAACCGTCTATCTACAAACATAAACATAAAGGTGGCTAAATGTATCCGAAGATACACGAAAATGCAACTAGCGGAATTTGCCGACTGGGTCCGAATGCTTGACGTGCGTGTATGTTTGTCGCAAACATTATACATGTATATGCGCTAACATAAAGCAAATCACTTGCATTTTGGCCACCCGGAGTTAGTTAAACACAGAACTAGGCACATTGGTTACAGGAGCCAGTCTACACTAAGTTGAAGGATTCCCCGACAGTCGTCTACGACAACCGTATTTCGATTTCCCACTTCCGGTTTGTTTTCACGTGTGTGTGTTTGTAAACAAATGCTTGCATGTGGATGTCGTTGTTGCGTGATTCCAAGCACTGTGTGATTATCTATCCCTGATACACTAGAAGTTAATCTGCGAAGACCATAAAATGGCGTCTATTATGAGCTATTTGTCTATGAATAATGGCCTACGTATGCCCGCTGTCGGGCTTGGAACCTATCTTATGAAAGGTGACGCATTGAAAAGGGCGGTCGATTACGCTCTGTTCCTGGGGTACAGACATATCGACACAGCGCTAAGCTATGGTAACGAAGTTGAAGTGGGCGAGGTCATTAAAGATAGGATTAGGGCTGGGAAAAATAAAAGGAAAGATTTGTTTATCACAACAAAAGTACCATGTGCTTATTTGGAAAGAGATGCAGCGATCAAAAGTGCCGAAATGTCGCTAGAAAGTCTCAAACAAACACATGTCGACTTGTTGTTAATTCACCAACCTTGGGGTAATGTCAACAGAGGGGTTGGAACGCTCAAACCTCTCAATTCGAAAGGAGAACGTGAGTTGAAGCATCACGACCTTCTGGAAACATGGTCTGCCTTTGAACAGATGCATGGTCAGAATTGGGCCAAAAGCATTGGAGTATCTAACTTCAACCCAGAACAGATTCAGAGGATATGGGACAAAGCTAAAATCAAGCCTGCAAATCTTCAACTCGAGGCACATGCTTACTGGCAGCAGAAGAAGCTTGTTGAGTTTTGTGGAGAGAAAAACATTATACTTACTGCATATTCACCACTAGGTGCACCATCTAAGCCTGATAAAAAGCCAGAAGATCTGGTGCTGCTTGAAGATCCACAAGTGAAACAATTATCGTTTGAGTACAAAAAGACTCCAGGACAGATATTGTTAAACTTCTTATTGCTTAAGGGTATGGGTGTTTTACCTAAGAGTCAAAATTTCGAGAGAATTAAAGACAATCTGGATATATTTGACTGGAAGTTGTCATCAAGTGATTTTGAGAAGCTGCTTAAGCTAGACAACACTGTAAAATATTTTACAAATGAATGGGCACACAGGCATCCTGAATTCGACAAGAGTGAACCTTTCTGATAATATTGAACGACATCCTTACTACATTTTTACTACTAGTAGTATATTGTGTCATTTGCTTTATTCATTATTGTTTGTTATTCAGGACTTTACCATTTGCCGTGATTTGGATAATGAATTTACATTAAGCTTGACCTTGTTCATCTGTGCTTAAAGCATATGGATGTTACTCTACATATGCAGGGTATTAATTTCAATCTGTCAATACATAATTCATGTCCAGTTCTGTGTGTTTTACATCATGTCCATGTTAGAGACTTTCAAAAGCAATAGTTACAAACCTTTCACAACAACCTAGTCTGATAATGTTGAATTGCTAGCAGAGGCGATAGTGTTACCTCGCAGTCTATCAGTAGTAAATTGTAATTGTGTAAAGTGTGGTTGCATAATATTCATGAATACTATAAGTCATGTAGTATTGTAATGACAAAACATGACCCATCATGTGATATACATGTATTAACTGGGAGAGAGCAAAAACGTTTTGTCACCTGGGCTGGATTGAAATTGAGAATTTCTTTCATAATCATATGCATTGCAAATTACATGAATTATGTATCCTCATGTGTATTGTAATGGGACTTAAGTATTATGCTGTGTACCGATACATGAGCATGTGTACGGAAAATTGAATCTGGACCATTACAAGAGCGAGATTTCAGAATATTAATTACATCTATTATCTGGAGTTATATAGGGCGACAAGCACATGAGCACATATTTGAAATCTCATGATATCTTACATATTTTGATATTCCGCTATAACATGGTGTAAACATGATATAGGTAGAGGAGACAAATAACACCAAATTATATCAAGGTTGCCTACTTCATTTAAGATGAAAAATCTGCAGGTGAAAATGGCGGTAAATGATATGAGTGACATGTGCTGCTAGATTTTACGAGCTTGAACACCAAAATACTGAAGGTCAGGGGTGAATAGGACCATTCAGCTCATGAAATCATGTACACCCCGCTAGCAGATGACTAGTGATTTATCATCGCGACTATATACCAGACTGCTTTTTTGTTATCAAATTCCTGTGTGTGACTTGATCAATATTCTGACCACCATAAAACCATCATGGAAACAGTAAAGATGTAGACAGGATCAGTTGTGACACGATATCAAACACGTAGTAGAGTTGCATTGGCTTTGCATCACAGCACCTGGCTGATCTGATAGCTCAATTTTTAAAACAATTTTGACCGAGTGCTTGCTGGTTTGCAGGTTTGAAAACAGTTAAAGTTAAGAGTTTGTTTCAGATTTAGCAGATCACAATGCATAGTGTTTATGCTGACACTTGTGTATTGCAGATCATTAAGATATTTCACATGATGAAGTGACATGATTCAAGTTTGATGACTGGACTGTGACTTGGTCCACCTTTAGCATGTTAACATTGTGAACAGAAATGAACGGATTTTAGATGAAGGTAACCCATACTCTTGTATGTGAAGAGGATGCAGGTTGTTGTACATTGTGCCATATTTGATACCTTGTTGATTTATGTTTTATATATTCAGATGACAGTAATATTTATATTTTACCTGTGTGAGCCTGAATTTTAAAATAAAACAGCAATTTATTCAGTTTATGTCTATTCATTTTTCTAACTCTAAGGTCTTGGCATAATCAGTTGGATGCAGTGAAAATTGTGATATTATCATTTCATTTTAAGGGACCGTTTATAATGTATGGGGGTTGGGGGTGATTTTTATGGAGAAGCATGTACAATGTGAATGACCCCCCCATAAAATTTATGTACAAAGTAAGTGACATGTACAAAGTAAGTGCATGTTAAGTACAAAATTGCTGACCCACCCTAGTACATGCGTACAAAATTGATGATGGGGTGCCTTAAAATGAAATGATGCTACTGATATATTATTAATAATATGTACATTTATGGTACATGTGCATGATTATTAGGAATAAGTGAGTATTGCTTAGTGTATGTTTTATGCATATTCTGCTCTGCACAGTATTCAAGGAGTCAAGGGTGGGCCACTTGTCTTAGACACTGACATTCTCTATGCAGACTTTCTTCCCTTGAGTATGGGTGACAAATAGGATTGTGGGTTCAAATTCCAGTTCATCCCAGGTTTGTTCAGGGTTTGTTGGTACCATGCCCATGCTGTTGGTAAACACCTGAGACATGCACCACCCCAGGCGTCCCTCCAACATGACAGTGACACTTTGTCATGGGGGGTGTGGCTGGGCAAGAGAATGTTTGTATATAATGGCGGCACTGCCAAGAGGACAATGACTCTTTGAGTTAATGTTGTTTCTTACCTGTCAGTATTTTCCTCGCTGTATCTTGGGGTTTTGGCTTCAAACCAGTGGTTGATAGCATGAGCAATACTCAATGACATTTGGGCCATGTTTCTGGCACATCATTGTACCCAAGATATACCACCTGGAACATGAATCCCATGGCTGACAGAATCATTAATACATAACAGTGACATGTAATTAGCCCAGTAACAGAACTGTATGATTGGCCCTGTTACTAGGGCTTGGACCGGTCCAAATTTTCTACCCGGGTACCCCACCCCGTATTACCCTACCCTACTGAGATACTGGTTATGTGTTAATTCCTGACATAAAATTTGCAAGAAATGGCAATATATTCTTCAGCTCGGAGGTTAAAATTTCAAGTTTTTTAATATCTTAACCATGTATTATATTAAAAAAAGTGACTGTAAATTATGTCTAAATCTTCAAAGACAATACAATCTTTTAATCAAGAAAGAATAACATAATAAAAATTGTTTCATCTATTAGTCACATGATCATAACGGGTCCGGGTATTGAGACGGGTACCTGGGTCCAACTCATTACCTACCCGTCCCAGCCCTACCTGTTACCCAGTGGTTGACAGCAGGAGCAATGGTCAATGGCATGAACAGTTACCCGTTACTAAGTTCCCGACATTGTGACAATAAAATCTGTATTTCAGTCAGCTCCAAGGCCAGGAACACAAGAATAAAAACAAATAAATTCTATCTATTTCAACCCACCATGCCAGCCAATTCTGAGATCGGACAAGACTGCTGAAACAAATATTGAAATCTTGTATTGTAAGGTAATGTCCAGTGCACACAGTACTGAGTGTGATGTGTCAGACTGTGAACACTGCAATTTAACACATCCTGGGACTTTGTTCCTTAGATGTTCAATCTTATAAGGCAGTACTTGAATCGAAGTGTTCACATCACATTCCGACTCGTATTTTCTCACATGACGCAAAGATTTAGTGACTGAAGCGGACATAAACTCATCAAAACTCTCTCGGCCGTCGGCGGAGATAATAAACGGATTTTGTTCAGGGGCAGATACAGCGCATCCCCGCACCCTCTCTGGATCCGCCTGTGTAGTTACTGGATCATGTATAACTCGGTCAAATGTTATCAGACAAACTTGTGTAGTGAAACCTTAGTATAGTAATTCTTCGTGAATGGTGTCGATTCAGCTGCCACTTCTTGGACCTAAGTGCGCACCATGGCCGTCACACTGCGATAAAGTGACATGTATGGCCTCTAGTGTCGACAGCTCCGTCACCAGTGCAGGATTTTAAAGTCTCCGTAACGATTCAGAATCGAGAGAAGGGCCCAGCAACTTATGATGGTCGTTAGAGGCGATGAAACTGATCGGGATTTTAGACATACATACAGGTTGATTCCAAACCGAAACACAGAGTTTAAGCTAGAAATCTGTTCGAGCAGGTTAGAATTGTGAATGATCGTACAGTTAGTTCATGATAGTTGATTTTTCCACCTTTTCATATCTACGCTGCATTTAGTAGTCGTTGTTTAATTAATAACAAATCAAATAAAATTCATTTGCGTGTCCGTTCCATATGTATAAAAAATCATATCTACATCGCGTCCCTCAACAGAGGTAGACAGGTTTCACTTTATACAGCGGAAACATTCGTCGACGTAGTAACGATCACATATCTGGATTTTATCCAACACTTTCCCACAAGTCAACATACGGTCAACAGGTACACCCCCATTCCCCGTAAACAACCGTAGATTGTGGATACTGATTGCAAAATACATTTCATAATTTGCAGCTGTCCGTCACTTACACATGCATAACAGATGCTGTTCACCCATTTACGCAAATAGACCTCGGTCTGGTTCTCGATGTATGCGGCGCTGGCGACTCACTGACCCAGGCAATGCCTGCACCATGGCCGCCCAGTGGTTTCTGGTAAATTGAAACACGTCTACCGGAGGTATAGCAAGATTTGATTGATATGGTCCGAAAGTCTGGAATCTGTAGTTTCCAATGTCTAAAACCAATGTCGCCATATTTGAAAGTGTCAGCCCTCCTGCCGTTTTTAACGTTTCCATGGTAACCTTGCTTTTTTAGATAGAACACTGCTATATATGAAGGGACAATTCTTCACTGTGAATAGACATTTAATCAGTCTTAAGCTTGCTTGTGTTGCTCGAAGCACTGGTCACAGTAATCTGATTTGTTGCTTTTTTTGCTTGAAATTCAATGTTTTACTTTGCATCTTTGTTAACTGCTGAGTAATTATAGGTATAGCGCCATGTATTTGGTATTAGAAGACACCTAACAGATTCGCCATTATGCAAATAATACATTTACGGATGTAACTCTTGTGATTTTGGTCGTTTTCAAGGTTGCCAAGCATTTTCAATTGTATCCCAAAACTGCATTACATCATGCCGTTTTGTAACCAGATATTGCTTTTCAATGAGGTTATTCCTGCATCGTAAATACATGTGGGTAAACATCTTCAGGTGCAAGATCAATGTCATATCCTTCAATTCTGGAGCAAATCTGGAAAAAGCAAATATTTTCTTATATGTTTTTGTTGTGACAACCAAATAGAGGACTCGCTGCTTTATAAACCCTAAATGTTGCCCAAAGTGTTTTACAGCATGATTTGTGGGGGTCTCTAAGGGATAACAAGGACTTTCAGTGACATTCTGTCTGGTAATAAATCAAGGATAACGTTAGAATTTCGCTTCGTGTATATATTTTTGTGATCGCTTTAATGACATACATGTCAGCTGTTTACAAACAAGGACTTGGAAATTTGTTTGAAGTCAAATGCCAAGTGTTTTAAGTCAAGTGTTTTGTACAGCAATTTCATTATCATTTTAGGTAATAATGTACACTTACAGACTGTACTTAATAATGATTTCAAAACAGATGACTATACAGTACTCTATATGATATATTATACATCTGGGGGCGGTGGGGTAGCCTAATGGTTAAAGGGTTGGCTCGTCACGCCGAAGACCCGGGTTCGAATCCCCACATGGGTACAATGTGTAAAGCCCATTTCCGGTGTCCCCCGCCGTGATGTTGCTGGAATATTGCTAAAAGCGGCGTAAAACCAAACTCAGCCAGTCAGTATTATACATCTTCCGTAAATATACATCAGTTATGTATAATTACTTTTAGGCGTGTTCTTTACAGATGTAATGATCCCTCATGACAAATGCGTTGGGGTACCCTAGTGGTAAAAGCGTTCCCACGCCTCTCATTATATTTGTGTCTCATATGATCGTACAATAAACAAAGTTCTGTTGACATTCATGTACAGTATACATATAAACGTCATGTATTTCGCTAAAGAGTGAGTGAGTGAGTTTGGTTTTACGCCACTTTTAGCAATATTCCAGCAATATCACGGCGGGATCACCAGAAATGGGCTTTACACAGTTTGCCCATGTGGTGAAGAGAACCGGGTCGTCAGCGTGACGAGCGACACTTTAACCACGAGCCTACCCCACCGTCCCCATTTGGCTAAAGAAAGGTATTTGATGCTTATCTCAAAGTATTTGTTTGTTGTTTAACGTTGAACTCAGCACTGTTCCATCTGCACTATGTGGTTTTGGCTCCATCCATGCTACGACCCAACATGTATAAAGGAAACGTGACAATTATGAAACACATTTGGAATAGTCCTGCACACAGCCATGTCCTTTTACATGTATATAAAACAAATGAAATCAGTAATATCATGACACTGTCTGTCCCCTATGACAGATATACGGACCTCAACTGCGATATGCAGTTTGCATCCCAAGTACGGAATTCTTAATACTGTTTGTTTGTTTGTTATTTAACGCCGACATTAGCAAGTTTCCAGCAACATGACGGCTGTCTGTATTCGAGTCTGGACCAGACAATACAATGATCGACATCATGAGCATCCATTATTGAAACTGGGATACGATGACCTGCTTCAACCACCCGATCCCGTTAGTCGCCCTGTGCACTAATAGATTCCGATTGGACTACACAGTAATACCTGTGATATTTATGTCGCGGGAGCAGTGAGTATTATCAGTGAGTATCATTGGAGTAACCTTCATCAAGAGCATATTTCTGTCATGTATCATAGTATCGGTTGCAAAGGCCAAATTATAAGTAAAGCACCAAGACAAAGAAATATTCGACATAATAAAGAACCGGTTGACTTTGGGTACTCAGCATAACACACTTGTAATTACTTCAAACAGGTTTTATTGGTTACAACGTACAATTCTTCCTGGACAGACGCCGGTGTTACGACTGTATATAGTGTAAGGATATGTAAGTTTTAATATGTCGATCTTCTCTGACACTGGAAACGACATTCGTAAAGTGTTTGAAAGTTGTTGGCGTTCCCCGGACAGCCTCCATAGATGAATCTCTGACATTTGTTTGTACGTTTGTTGTACCACCATCTGCGGATAGCGGCCGCACACTGACCCGGATCTTTGGGGAGGCTGCAGAGGTCGCCGCCTGGAGGGGAGAGAAACATGTATGCAACCTGTTGAAGAGCCACCAAGATTAACACCAGCACCACCCTCCTCATACAATAACTAACCCATACTTTTACAAACACACGCACGCACACACGTATCCAGGACTGACTGAGTTTGGTTTTACGCCGCTTTTAGCAATATTCCAGCACTATCACGGCGTTGGACAGCAGAAATGGGCTTTACACATTGTACCCATGTGGGGAATCGAACAAGCGTGAGCAAAGCAAACGCTTTAACCACTGGACTATCCCACCGCCCCACGTATCCAGGAATATCAAGGCGGGGACACCTGGCTCAACACGTTATACCCATGTGAGGAATCAATAACCCAAACTAACGAACAAACACAAAATTTCCACACACACGCGCACGCACACACACAGAGACATATCCAGGAATATTAAGGCTCAATACGGTATACCCACGTAAGGAATAGACATATATTACTACACATTACTCTACCTCCACATCTACGCCTGCAGTCCTCCAGAGTTTCGAATCTGTTGGCATTCCCCCCACACCCTCCGTACACGAACTTCTCACAGAGACACGTCTTGCTGTTGAAGTAGTACTGTGGGATGTACGCTCTGCATGGACCGGTGTCTTTGGGCAGCTGGCACACTGAAATCACGGTGTGTATATTAATTTCCAGCAGTGCATGAAGCACTAATCATCCTGTAATTAAAGACGGAGGCTGGTAAATTTTTTCCCAAAGATAAATATTCCACTTGTTACCGGGTGTAAAAATCTTGGAATGAACTATGTGTGCTGACTCTTTCGGTGTTGTCACAACCCCTAGTGTACAGTACACAACACTGTGCACTGAAAAAGAACCCACGAATTCGTTGGTAAATGACCAGATGGTGGCCACATAAATACGAGCAAACACCTAGTTTCGGGTACAGCAACGTGTAGTAAAACGTGGACAAAGTTATGTGGCTATGTGTCCCAGTCCACCCAGCTGTGAATGGATACCCTGTAGGGATGGGAAAGCTACATTAACTTGGTGCGCCTAGTGGCTGCATGAGTACTATAATCCCCAGGGAGTTGGGATTGCAAATACAATTGACATCCAGTGATAGAGGGAAACACAAAGCGCTTTGAGCAGCTGAGCTGGATATTGGCGCTATACAAATATTAGTATGAATGAATAGGTAACTAGGAAAGGTGTACTTACCATCATGATATTTAGCTGAGGTCAGACCAACCAATACCAACACCAAACCCAGCTGGCAGAAGGACAAGGGTGGCATTGTCGTTTGAGGCGAGGCACTGCACTGTCAAGAGTTGCGTCCCTTGGAAATGACGAGATGTGTGACTGGGGAATACGGATGTGTACAGATATACAAGAGCGTATCTATTCCAGTCAGTGGCAAGACATGAAAGTAGACACGTCAAAACCCTTTCCATAATCACAAGAACGTCCACTACAACTTCAACTATATCATAAGAAAACTGTCGAATAATGAGGGGTAAAAACGTGTACCCTGCCCGACCGGTGACCTCATCATTAACAAGCCAAGATACATTAGGATACAAGTTATGTATACATAATTGTATCGTACGTCATGTCGGCTTTTGACACGTCAATCATGTTATGGACATGATTACTTGAAAACTTAAGAAGTACTGAGGCTGAATGCTGAATACTGTAGAGTAACGAAAAGGAACGTGAATCAGTATGAGGCCGATGGCCACTTGCATGAGAGAAATAGAAATATTTTTCAAACCTACCGGCAAACGTCGGGCAACAGAATGCACATAGGTATAGGGAGGACATTTATATAGGGTCTGCTTTCATTGCGTGCCACATGCCACAATTATAAATGATATATAATTATTTTTTCCCATGACAGTGGACGCACTTCCGTGTTACATCTCAGCACGCTGGCGTGGAAGATAGGAGTGCACTTTATGAATAATGAATATCAATATTTGGACTGTGGCAACCCCACCCCACCCAAACAGATAAGAAAGATAAATATAGCAACAACAAAAAAAAGAAAGAAAAAGAAATGCCACATGCTTGCCTTAGGTGATGCCATTCGAGCAAAACAGTCCTGCATTTCAAGTTATGCCTTTGAAAGTGTTTGCCTGCATGTGTGTGTGTTCAGTAACCATTATGCATACAATGCCCACGAAACATGGTTTGCTGAAGGTTGTCCTAGATCACGCCATCAAAGCCAAGCCCAAACACTTCAGGAATCGTTTCATGTCATCCTGTAATTAGTGAGTAGTCAGGTGTCCTGTGATAAACGTGTAGAGGTGCGTCCTTCATATTTCTGGAAGCGTCAGACTTGGGTTCGAATCCCGATTCAGTCATCCAGTGACTCTTTGTCCGTGTAAATCCTCTTCTCCCCGTGGTGGTGGGTTCTCTCCCACAGTAGACAGAACTTCTTTAACATAACTGGCTTACTTTTCCAAAACAACCATAACACAGAGAAACACACTGAAAAATACTTTCTTTTTGTTCTTGTATCCGCCATCAGTGAGAATTTCTAAGAATAAACCGCGCGTGGGTCACCTGTCTCCAAAACATCATGTTTGTCTTTCAGGGTGTAACTGAAATATGGGCTAAAGGCAGTTGCTTACAAATTACTTCTTACAAAAAAGCATAATACATTTTGTAACTGTCCAAAATTGTTAAGGAAAATGCTTTGAAATTAGTTTATCAACAATTGGCTATCGCGCGAATCGATCGTTAGTAAAAATATATACTTTAATGTAAAAATTACATTTCTGTCACATAAGCTGCATAATGATCATTACATCTTTGGAGTAGGCCCCTTTGATACGATTGACAAGATTCATGAAACATTTGCTATCTGCATGCCTTTATAGACCTGATTTATGGAAACAGCGGCATAAAACAACACTTTATCACTCGCTTCAACACTGAAGTTGTTTATTTCGCGGTAAGGTCATTATAAACTTATATGTTATTGGAATTAGGGAGACTTTTTCTAACGCACGCACGCACGGGCACACACACACACATGCGATTTTGTTTTTAATGCATTAAGTGAATGAACGAGTGGCGTAGGCGAGTATGGGTTTATGACGTTTTAGCCGTGTTTGGCGGTATTCCAGCAATATCACGGCAGAGGACACCTGGCATGGAGTTGACACATTGTACCCATATGGTCAATAGAACCCGGTTTTGGGGCGTGAAGAGAGAACATTTCAACCACTCGGCTACTCCACCGACCCCATCCAAATTGTGACTCTTTAACTAGAAATATTACAAAGGCGATATTCATATCATGACACATAACCAGCCTGTTCCATAATAAGGGAAGGTAATTCTGATGCTTGTTGAAAATGTATGACCATTATACAGAATGGATATAACATAACTGTTTAAATGTGGCGGGTTAGACCGAGTGGAAATGCTTCACGTTGTTCATAGTCTTGATTATCCATATGGCTGTGTACCCTCAACTGGACTGAACAGAATCAAACCTGGTGTTACGATCATTCTTATATGCCTGGACGTCCGTGTATGAATGTCTATGAAATAAATTGAAGCTACAGCTGAACCGTTTGGGGAAGTCTTCGTCCCTAAAGTAAGCACTACGAAAACAAGGTTTCGGTAGCAAGGACATCTTTATACCGGTAGTGTGTGCTGTTGAACGCCGCAGACAGCAATTTTCCAGCAACATGGTGGAGGTCTGTAATCGAGTCTGGACAGGGGACTACAGTTACTGACATTTGGAATACGATGACATGCTTCAACAAACCGATCCCGTTAATCGCCCTGTGCGCTTAAATAAATTCCGATTGGACTACCTGTGATATTTATATCCCGGGAACAGTGTTTATTTTCAGTATTAGTATGTATCATTGCAGGAACCTTCACCCAGGGCATATTTATGTGTATGTTCATTGTATCGGTCGCAAAGGTATATTATAACAGGCAAATTATAAGTGAAGCACCAACACAAAGAAATATTTGACTTTGGGTTCTCAACATATCACAAAACACACTGGGAATTACACCAATTGAGTTTTATTGGTTACAACGTCCAAATCTTTCTGGACAGACGCTCTCGTTACAGCTGCACATTGTTTAAGGATATGTAAGCCTTAATATGCCCATCCTCTCCGACACTGGAAGCGACACTCGTAAAGTGTTTCAAAGTTGTTGGCGTTCCCCTCACAGCCTCCATAGCTGAATCTCTGACATCTGTTTGTACGTTTGTTGTGCCACCATCGGGATGTCATCGTCACAACGACCCGGATCTCTGGGGAGGCTGCAGAGGACACCGCCTGGACACGAAAGGAATATTCTGGAGCAAATCTGGAAAAAGCCAATATTTTCTTATATGTTTTTGTTATGTCAATCCAAATAGAGGACTCGCTGCTTTATAAACCCTAAATGTTGCCCAAAGTGTTTTACAGCATGATTTGTGGGGGTCTCTAAGGGTAACAAGGACTTTCAGTGACATTCTGTCTAGTAATAAATCAAGGATAACGTTAGAATTTCGCTTCGTGTATATATTTTTGTGATCGCTTTAATGACATACATGTCAGCTGTTTACAAACAAGGACTTGGAAATTTGTTTGAAGTCAAATGCCAAGTGTTTTAAGTCAAGTGTTTTGTACAGTAATTTCATTATCATTTTAGGTAATAATGTACACTTACAGACTGTACTTAATAATGATTTCAAAACAGATGACTATACAGTACTCTATATGATATATTATACATCTTCCGTAAAAATACATCAGTTATGTATAATTACTTTTTGGTGTGTTCTTTACAGATGTAATGATCCCTCATGACAAGTGCGTTGGGGTACCCTAGTGGTAAAAGCGTTCCTACGCCTCTCATTATTTTTGTGTCTCATATGATCGTACAATAAAAAAAAGTTCTTAAAAATGAATCACCTCTTATTCTGTTGACATTCATGTACAGTATACATATAAACGTCATGTATTTCGCTAAAGAGTGAGTGAGTGAGTGAGTTTGGTTCTACGCCACTTTTAGCAATGTTCCAGCAATATCACGGCGGGGTCACCAGAAATGGGCTTTACACAGTTTGTCCATGTGGTGAAGAGAACCGGGTCGTCAGCGTGACGAGCGAACGCTTTAACCACGAGCCTACCCCACCGTCCCCATTTGGCTAAAGAAAGGTATTTGATGCTTATCTCTTAGTGTTTGTTTGTTGTTTAACGTTGAACTCAGCACTGTTCCATCTGCACTATGTGGTTTTGGCGCCATCCATGCTACGACCCAATATGTATAAAGGAAACATGACAATTATGAAACGTATTTGGAATAGTCCTGCACACAGCCATGTCCTTTTACATGTATATAAAACAAATGAAATCAGTAATATCATGACATTGTCTGTCCCCTATGACAGATGTGCGGACCTCAACTGCGAAATGCAGTTTGCATCCCAAGTACAGAATTGTCCGACTGCCCGGTGGAATTCTTAATACTGTTTGTTGTTTAACGCCGTCATCAGCAATTTTCCAGCCACATGACGGCTGCATGTATTCGAGTCTGGACCAGACAGTTCAATGATCGACATCATGAGCATCCATTATTGAAACTGGGATACGATGACCTGCTTCAACCACCCGATCCCGTTAGTCGCCCTGTGCACTGTAATAGATTCCGATTGGACTACACAGTAATACCTGTGATATTCATGTCGCGGGAGCAGTGAGTATTATCAGTGTGTATCATTGGATTAACCTTCATCAAGAGCATATTTCTGTCATGCATCATCGTATCGGTTGCAAAGGCCAAATTATAAGTAAAGCACCAAGACAAAGAAATATTCGACTTAATAAAGAACCGGTTGACTTTGGGTACTCAGCATAACACACTTGTAATTACTTCAAACAGGTTTTATTGGTTACAACGTACAATTCTTCCTGGACAGACGCCGGTGTTACGACTGTATATAGTTTAAGGATATGTAAGTTTTAATATGTCGATCTTCTCCGACACTGGAAACGACATTCGTAAAGTGTTTGAAAGTTGTTGGCGTTCCCCTCACAGCCTCCATAGATGAATCTCTGACATTTGTTTGTACGTTTGTTGTACCACCATCTGGGGAAGTCACCGTCACGGATCTTACGGGAGGCTGCAGAGGTAGCCGCCTAGAGGGGAGAGAAACATGTATGCAACCTGTTGAAGAGCCACCAAGATTAACACCACCACCACCCTCCTCATACAATAACTAACCCATACTTTCACAAACACACACACACACGTATCCAGGACTGACTGAGTTTGGTTTTACGCCGCTTTTAGCAATATTACAGCACTATCACGGCGTTGGACAGCAGAAATGGGCTTCACACATTGTACCCATGTGGGGAATCGAGCAAGCGTGAGCAAAGCAAACGCTTTAACCACTGGGCTACCCCACCGCCCCACGTATCCAGGAATATCAAGGCGGGGACACCTGGCTCAACACGTTATACCCATGTGAGGAATCAATAACCCAAACTAACGAACTAACCCAAAATTTCCACACACACGCGCACGCACACACACAGAGACATATCCAGGAATATTAAGGCTCAACACGGTATACCCACGTAAGGAATAGACATATATTACTACACATTACTCTACCACCACATCTACGCCTGCAGTCCTCCAGAGTTTCGAATCTGTTGGCATTCCCCCCACACCCTCCGTACACGAACTTCTCACAGAGACACGTCCTGCTGTTGAAGTAGTACTTTTGGAAGTACGCTCTGCATGGACCGGGGTCTTTGGGCAGCTGGCACACTGAAATCACGGTGTGTATATTAATTTCCAACAGTGCATGAAGCACTAATCATCCTGTAATTAAAGACGGAGGCTGGTAAATTCTTTCCCAAAGATAAATATTCCACTTGTTACCGGGTGTAAAAATCTTGGAATGAACTATGTGTGCTGACTCTTTCGGTGTTGTCACAACCGCTAGTGTACAGTACACAACACTGTGCACTGAAAAAGAACCCACGGATTCGTTGGTAATTGACCAGATGGTGGCCACATAAATACGAGCAAACACCTAGTTTCGGTTTCGGCAACGTGTAGTAAAACGTGGACAAAGTTATGTGGCTATGTGTCCCAGTCCACCCAGCTGTGAATGGGTACCCTGTAGGGATGGGAAAGCTACATTAACTTGGTGTGCCTAGTGGCTGCATGAGTTCTATAATCCCCAGGGAGTTGGGATTGCAAATACAATTGACATCCAGTGATAGAGGGAAACACAAAGCGCTTTGAGCAGCTGAGCTGGATATTGGCGCTATACAAATATTAGTATAAATGAATAGGTAACTAGGAAAGGTGTACTTACCATCATGATATTTAGCTGAGGTCAGACCAACCAATACCAACACCAAACCCAGCTGGCAGAAGGACAAGGGTGGCATTGTCGTTTGAAGCGAGGCACTGCACTGTCAAGAGTTGCGTCCCTTGGAAATGACGAGATGTGTGACTGTTGAATACGGATGTGTACAGATATACAAGAGTGTATATATTCCAGTCAGTGGCATGACATACAAGTAGACACGTCAAAACCCTTTCCATAATCACAAGAAAGTCCACTACAAATTCAACTATATCATAAGAAAACTGTCGAATAATGAGGGGTGAAAACGTGTACCCTGCCCGACCGGTGACCTCATCATTAACAAGCCAAGATACATTAGGATACAAGTTATGTATACATAACTGTATCGTACGTCATGTTCTGGACATGATTACTTGAAAACTTAAGAAGTACTGAGGCTGAATGCTGAATACTGTAGAGTAACGAAACGAAACGTGAATCAGTATGAGGCCGATGGCCACTTGCATGAGAGAAACAGAAATATATTTCAAACCTACCGGCAAACGTCGGGCAACAGGATGCACATAGGTATAGTGAGGACATTTATATAGGGTCTGCTTTCATTGCGTGCCACATGCAACAATTATAAATGATATATTATTATTTTTTCCCATGACAGTGGACGCATTTCCGTGTTACATCTCAGCACGCTGGCGTGGAAGATAGGAGTGCACTTTATGAATAATGAATATCAATATTTGGACTGTGGCAAAAAAATGTCTCCAAAACATCCTGTTTGTCTTTCAGGGTGTAACTGAAATATGGGCTAAAGGCAGTTGCTTACAAATTACTTCTTACAAAATAGCATAATACATTTTGTAACTGTCCAAAATTGTTAAGGAAAATGCATTGAATTTAGTTTATCAACAATTGGCTATCGCGCGAATCGATCGTTAGTAAAAATATATACTTTAATGTAAAAAATTACATTTCTGTCACATAAGCTGCATAATGATCATTACATCTTTGGAGTAGGCCCCTTTGATACGATTGACAAGATTCATGAAAAATTTGCTATCTACATGCCGTTGTAGACCTGATTTATGGAAACAACGGCATAAAACAACACTGTATCTTTCGCCTCAACACTGAAGTTGTATATTTCGCGGTGAGGTCATTATAAACTTATGTGTTATTGGAATTGGGGAGACTTTTTCTAATGCACGCACGCACGGGCACACACACACATGTGATTTTGTTTTTAATGCATTAAGTGAATGAATGAGTGCGTAGGCGAGTATGGGTTTATGACGTTTTAGCCGTGTTTGGCGGTATTCCAGCAATATCACGGCAGAGGACACCTGGCATGGAGTGGGGCGGTGGGGTAGCCTAGTGGTTAAAGCGTTCGCTCGTCACGCCGAAGGCCCGGGTTCGATTCCCCACATGGGTACAACTTGTGAAGCCCATTTCTGGTGTCCCCCCGCCGTGATATTGCTGGAATATTGTTGACACATGGTCAATAGAACCCGGTTTTGGGGCGTGAAGAGAGAACATTTCAACCACTCGGCTACTCCACCGACCCCATCCAAATTATGACTCTTTAACTAGAAATATTACAAAGGCGATATTCATATCATGACACATAACCAGCCTGTTCCATAATAAGGGAAGGTAATTCTGATGCTTGTTTGAAAATGTATGACCATTATACAGAATGGATATAACATAACTGTTTAAATGTGGAGGGTTAGACCGAGTGGAAATGCTTCACGTTGTTCATAGTCTTGATTATCCATATGGCTGTGTACCCTCAACTTGACTGAACAGAATCAAACCTGGTTTTACGATAATGTTTATATGCCTGGACGTACGTGCATGAATGTCTATGAAATAAATTGAAGCTACAGCTGAACCGTTTGGGGAAGTCTTCGTCCCTAAAGTAAGCACTACGAAAACAAGGTTTCGGTAGCAAGGACATCTTTATACCGGTAGTGTGTGCTGTTGAACGCCGCAGACAGCAATTTTCCAGCAACATGGTGGAGGTCTGTAATCGAGTCTGGACAGGGGACTACAGTTACTGACATTTGGAATACGATGACATGCTTCAACAAACCGATCCCGTTAATCGCCCTGTGCGCTTAAATAAATTCCGATTGGACTACCTGTGATATTTATATCCCGGGAACAGTGTTTATTTTCAGTATTAGTATGTATCATTGCAGGAACCTTCACCCAGGGCATATTTATGTGTATGTTCATTGTATCGGTCGCAAAGGTATATTATAACAGGCAAATTATAAGTGAAGCACCAACACAAAGAAATATTTGACTCATTAAACAACCGGTTGACTTTGGGTTCTCAACATATCACAAAACACACTGGGAATTACACCAATTGAGTTTTATTGGTTACAACGTCCAAATCTTTCTGGACAGACGCTCTCGTTACAGCTGCACATTGTTTAAGGATATGTAAGCCTTAATATGCCCATCCTCTCCGACACTGGAAGCGACACTCGTAAAGTGTTTTAAAGTTGTTGGCGTTCCCCTCACAGCCTCCATAGCTGAATCTCTGACATCTGTTTGTACGTTTGTTGTACCACCATCTGGGGATGTCATCGTCACAAGGACCCGGATCTCTGGGGAGGCTGCAGAGGACACCGCCTGGACACGAAAGGGAGAGGAATATGTTGTATTAAAACGTGTTGAAGAGCTACCAAGATTAACGCCACCCACACCACCATGACGACGACCACCACCACAACAACAACCACCATGACGAGCACACCAACACTATGACGACCACACCACCACCATCACAACTACAACCACGCACGCGCACACAAAACAGCAACATAAAACACAAGAAAGCGCCAGGGAAACATAAATTTATAAATAATGATATTGTTCTATTGTTATATCGTACATCTAAACAGGGAGAATAGAAGACGCTGTAGATTATCCCCGATCTAAACAAAGAATATTATGAATAGAATAATGAGAAACACTGTAACCATAAAATGAATTATACTAAAGAGAGGTTTAGAAAGAAGTAACTTGTAAGTTGTCTTTCCTTGCATGTATTTTTCTATATTTTCAATATCATTATCATTTGTCTTCTTATATTAATTCATTTTTGTATTTCCATGGTGTAATCCCCTTTTAGATGTGCTGAAGTAGTAGACACTAAAGAATTCTATCATTCTCATTATGTCCAACTAATTATAATCAAGAGGGATGTGTATGTACCTCAACACAAACAGACCTATGGTTTCGGGAAACTTAAAACGTCTATCATTACGGACATAATGTGTTTGAGTAATTATACAATCACTGGAAGTACCTCTGTCATTTTAATACAATTTGCCGAAAATTAGTAATATAGTGAGTGAGTGCGTGCTAAACGCAATATTCCACGTTATAAACACGTTATCGAACCCAGGCTTTCGGCGTGACGAGCGAACGCTTTAAAGATGTGGTTACCCCCATTGCTATTTGTAAGTAACAACCTTTACGTATTTCACACAATACAATGTATCATATTACTTAAAGAATAACCAGCGAGGTACATATAGGACATATTTCCCGTAATCACTCGTACCGAGTTGGTTATTCTATTTATTACCCATAATGTAATTTAAAAAAAAGAACCACGAAATAAAAAACACCCGGTGACAGGACTTGTGACCTCTAATAGCTGATTCGTATTCATGTGCGTATTAAAGCTAACTTCTCTAGCGGTAATAACATAACTTCGCTATGATAATAGTACCTCATAAAATAAAATCACTTTAACATACAACAAAACTATCTTTTATGGAACAGTGTATTAAAATTAGTTAACATGATAACAATGATCTTTAAAATGCAATATCATTGAACTTAATAACAGTTAAAACGATATTTGATCAAGACAGTGCGCCGGAACATCGTTCAATCACGACTGACGTGTGTCTAGTGACGGGTGACGGTGTAGTGTTGAAACACACTTTGGCAAAAACCTGTCAATTTTTGGGAAAGTCAACGGTTTAAAGTACTCTACCTCCACATCTACGCCTGCAGTCCTCTAGAGTGTCGAAATTGTTGGCATTCCCCGGACACCCTCCGTACACGAACTTCTCACAGAGACACGTCCTGCTGTTGAAGTAGTACTTAAGGAAGTAACCATAACAATTTCCAGGGTCTTTGGGCAGAAGGCACACTGAAATAACAGTTGGGGTATAGTATGAATTACAAGCAGTGCTGAACACACTAATCAATCTGTAATTATAAACGGAGGCGGGTAAATCTTTTTTCAACGCAAAATATACTGTATATATATCTATCAGATTCAGGTTATATCATAAGCGTGTTTATAAATTAATGTAAAATAATGATGATACCACGTGTTTGCGGTAGGGCTGGGACGTGTAGGAAAAAATGGAATCGAGTATCCGCATGTACTTACCCGAATCGGAATCGAGTACCCGGAAATGTAAGGAATAAAGCGCTTCTGTCAACTTTCTGAATATTCAATCACGAGTTGACAGACATTTTTGAAGAAAACTTGAAATGATAGCAATAAGACACTGAAACTGAACTTAGGCTATATAATTTGCGTTTGTTTAAACAATATAGAGAGTAACACCATTACTTACATTCCTCCTTAAAACACAGATTGAACTTTTCGCTCCTGCTGTTACTGTAACTTGACTACTCACTGCTCATGCGCAGATATATTATAGTCGTTAATAATAACCTCTTAATCGGACAATACCAATGCTGCAAATGTTTGCTTCGTCAATCATGAAAAAAACAAGGTATTATCTGCCCTTGCCATTACAGAATTCTCTCCTTTTCCGGGTGCTTGATTCCAGCTGTACCCGACCCGGATTCGAGTACCCGAGTACCCGTCCCAGCCCTAGTTTGCGGTGAGCGTATCCTGACCAACCGATACAAACAGGTGGAAATGGAAGTAAAGTGTTCATCATATGGCACATCTCAACATAGGGAATCGATTTGTCACCTTGGTAACCGTCAATATCTGAACGTAGAGTCTAATTGTGAGAGTGGCCACGGACATGATAAACAGGATTTTGTTTAGTTGGTTATGGAGCCCAAAGTTTGAATTAGCTAAGAATACTGAAATTCATTAGAAACGCATCGCCCTATTACCATTGATCTTGCAAAAGGAATTTTGACCACAAACTCTGCTCTAAGTAATCTGACTATGACAGATGAACGTGATGCAAACGGAGAAGCACGTGCTTCCCTATGTGACCCACCATTTGCTGAAAATCAGCGTTTCACTGCAAATCACGAGAAAATGCATAAAGCGTGGCGGTTACATAACACATTCACAGATCATTCAACAATCACATCCTAATTTTGAACAGCATTCAATTGTTGACTTTATATAATGCCACGTTTATCAGTTGTTTGGAGAGAAAGAGCTGTCCCGTTACACGGTTACTCCGGGGTTGTCCATAGGTCAAGTGGCCAGAAGGTTTAATTGTCACATTTCAACAATAATCAGGTTATCACTGGCAGAAGACGTGATTTACCACGGCTATGACCACCATGAGCAACGGTCCCGGCCCAAGATCGTCACATCATCCATACACATTTCAGGAACAGGTTGAAACCAGCGTCCAGAACACCCCTACAAGTCTTTGACGAAGGGGTATCATCAGTCCGTAGACGGTAAACCGGCGATGACGTCATCGGGGACTGCGTGCGCGTAGACCCCATATTTGTCCGATACTCACTCAGAAACACCGACAGCAACGGGCACTGTTATGCAGAGTGCTCAAAGCCAAAAAATAGTCTGAAAAGGTGTGTTTTAATTTTTTTCTGGAATGAATCCTTTGATTTTGCAATTTCCAGTTCAGCTGGAAGTTCATTCTACAACACTGGGACTGTAAAACACATTTCCTCCATTTTAGTGGTGGTTCTGGGGACGGCAAGATCATTTAAAGCGCTGCTGGATCGAAGTTTTGTATGAAATGAGGCGTCTTAGATACTCGGGAGCAGTGGGATCATTCAGGACTGAATGTGTGAAAGAAAGCAGCTTATAGGTGACTCGTTGCTGTACAGGAAGACAATGTAACTCGCGCAGGATTGGTGTGATTCGACCCCCTACTAATACACACAGCATGAATCTTCTTCAGAAAAACAACATTTCTGTGGATCTAGCGCCTACTGAACATTAGTGGGACGAGATGGGGCGAAGACTTTCTGCTGGGGCTCAACCGAATAACGTCCATGATTTTGAACTCGCTTTGTAACAAATATACCGTCAGATACCATAGTCAAGCTTTCATGAGGAGGATGATCTTATCTGTGAAAAGATCAAGTGTATCTGTTTTCTCCGCAAATGGTGGCCTGTGATGCGTTTCTAATGTGTTTCAGTAATAGTATAAGTGATAATCTAGCATCAGGTACTGGGTGGAAAGGTCCGCTGACTTGGTTGATGCATGTCACCGTATCCCAGTTGCGAAAATCGATGCTTATGACGCCAGTTACTGGAATGTCCTGACTCAATTGCTTACAGACCACCGTTTGACCGCCGATGGAATGCGCTTTTGAACAACAATCAAAAGACAACTATAGATTTACAAAAAGTGATCTAGCCTCACTGGTTACTGTTAAGCCACCATGACACTTGCACAAATTTTGTCCCCGCACTGCCGCGCAATTCGTCGTGGCAATGCGTGTAATTTAAATGGTAAGCATGAACGCGTGAAACCGAATTTGCGCACTGTTCGCGTCCTGTTTACGCACAAGTTGCACACTTAGCACGCAATGCGTGACGGAAAATGGTGCGCATTGGCACGCATTGGTACGCGTTGACTTGTTTCAAGACATGGTGGAGATGTTAACCCCTCGTCTTGAGAAGAAGACCACATTCATGAGAGAACCGCTGCGACTCAAGCTGGCAACCATTCTTCGCTTCCTAGCCACTGGTAATTCCTATGCAAGTCTACAATACAGCTTCAGAGTTGAAGCTAAACAAACGGCAAGTTCTGAACAGAGGTTTGCAAATCCATCATTGAGGTTTACAAGGACGAAGTATTCAGATACCCCAAAACTGAAGAGGAGTGGAAGGAGGTTGCTGAAGGTTTTAGTTCCAGATGGAACTACCACAACTGCCTGGGGGCTGTGGACGGCAAGAACGTTGCTATGAAGAAGCCACCCAAAGCTGGATCATATTGCTAAAATTATAAGGGCTTCCACAGCATTGTGCTCATGGCCCATGTAGATGTTTGATACAAGTTCTTGTATGTTGATATTGGGGCAGAAGGTGGTGCTTCAGATGGAGGGACATGAAGAACTGTACTTTGCACAAAGCTGTCGAGGACAACCGAGCCGGACTGCCTGGACCAGCTCCACTCCCTAATGATGACAAGCCTGAGCCATATCATTTCGATGTCCATAATTGGGTCTCTGCAGTGACATTCAGCCAATGCTTCTGTTTCTTGTCGAACAGCTGGCGGCGCTGCTTAACAAATTCGGCCGGCTTCATAGTTCCCTCATCCATTCATTTGTAGTCCGGTATTTCTTATTGCTAACTCTGATCCCTGTTTCTGCTGTGTTTGGGACTCTTCTTGGGGCTCTACTTGGTGCAAAAACATCAGCACTCGAGTGGGAGGGGAAGAAATATCCCTCTCACTCTCTGTCTGTTTCTTGTCCGGTATCTTCTTCCAGTATTCTATCCACCATTTCTGCTCTTCCTCCGGTTGTCTACTTCTTCTTGGCTGGCATCTTGTTGACTGATCGCTGTCGAGTTGATGAATGTAGGGGCTGGCGAATGGCACGCTTTTATGTCGTCGCTGATTCGTACGCCAACAATGCGTGAAGTAGGCGTGCCCAATGCGTATCAATTTCGTGACTAGCGCAAGTATTCGTGTCGTGTGCAAACTATGTGGGAACTCGTCGTGCCATGACCACGTGAACAAGTCGGGACAATACAGTCCCGCCCGCCCGCTTCACGACAAGTGAGAAGGCATGAACTGTGCGCAATCTGTCGCGACCATGTCGCACACAATGCGTGATCGAAGCAGGCCAATGCGTGACACTGCGTGTCAATGCGCGCAGGGCTGGAAAAAACGACTAGTTCACGCGAGTGGCAGGAAGATTATGCGTACCAGAATTTTTGAACGTTTCAAAATTTTCTTTGCACAATAGTACGCAGCCCCGCACAGTTTATGCACACTTCACAACAGTTTACGCCGAATTTACTCATTGGCGCGCAAAATTGCGTACCAGTGCGGGGACAAAATTCGTGCAAGTGTCAGGGTGGCTTTAGTCATTACGATGCACGTACACGTATACCAGGAGCGGCTGTTGTTGTGTTCCTCTTCACCATATTATGATTACAAGAAACAACACATGAGTTTTCGTGACTTTTTTCTGAGCATACTATACCTTTTCCAAGTCTAATGTTTCAGGTTTCCGTGGCAACATGTGTGTAACGTATGTAATATTGGGGATTACGCTGACTTAGTAAAGTACAGATTTTATTACCTTTTGGGGGTTGAGTCAGGCTCCTAATCGCCGAATGGGACTCAACTAAAAGCATTTATAGCTTTTTTACATTTTATCATTTTCCCAAACCACTATGCGTACTCAAGACATGTGTGTTCCTTACACTAAAAACAATGAAAAGATTGGTGGGTATTACTGACTTAGTATGGTGATGTGTGGTAAGTAGGTGACAGAAAATTAAACTTTCATTAACGTAACAGTTCATGTCTAGTATGTCGAGTAGATGAGTGAGTGTTGGGTATTACGCCGCTTTTAGCAATATTCTAGCAATATCACGGCACGGGACACCAGAAATGGGCTTCACACATTGTGCCCATGTAGGCATTCGAACCCGGGTCTTCAGCGTGACAAGACGACCCTTTAACCATTAGGCTACCGCTCCGTCCCTAAGGATATATGAGTAGTTAATTGGCTGGATTGTTGTTTAACGCCGCACTCAGCAATATTCCAGCTATATGGCGGCGGGTCTGTAAATAATCGTGTCTGGAACAGACAATCCAGTGATCAACAGCATGAGCATCATGCTACACAATTGGGATACGATTTGGGAAATATCGTGCATAGATTATATTGTCGTATACCATATTGTCATATAATGTATAATTTAGACACATTTATTCTCCTGTCAAACAGTCGTTATCATTCTCTGGACCTGTATAATGGCGTGTACATGAATGCAAATTAACTGTATTAACTGGGATACGATGACATGTGACAACCAAGTCAGACCACATGACCACCCGATCCCGTTACTTGCCTTTTACGACAAGCATGGATTACTGAAGACCATTTCTACCCTGGATCCTCACGGGTTGTAGATGAGTGGCACATCTACAAGTCAGACCACATGACCACCCGATCCCGTTACTTGCCTTTTACGACAAGCATGGATTACTGAAGACCATTTCTACCCTGGATCCTCACGGGTTGTAGATGAGTGGCACATCTACAAGTCAGACCTCATGACCACCCGATCCCGTTACTTGCCTTTTACGACAAGCATGGATTACTGAAGACCATTTCTACCCTGGATCTTCACGGGTTGTAGATGAGTGGCACATCTACAAGTCAGACCACATGACCACCCGATCCCGTTACTTGCCTTTTACGACAAGCATGGATTACTGAAGACCATTTCTACCCTGGATCCTCACGGGTTGTAGATGAGTGGCACATCTACAAGTCAGACCACATGACCACCCGATCCCGTTACTTGCCTTTTACGACAAGCATGGATTACTGAAGACCATTTCTACCCTGGATCCTCACGGGTTGTAGATGAGTGGCACATCTATTTAACCGTTTAGCTGATATGATAATATTACGTATGTATTGTATACGTTTTGAAGTACTGTTTTGTGATTCTAGTTGTTATCGCATTTGAGAGTTAGGGTTTTCAAATAGACATTAAAGTAATATTTCTCTTGGCTAAACTTTGTTTCTTTTGGTTTTTGAATTTTTTAATAACAGCGACCCCAATTTTTGAGCTAATGCACCGCATTGAGATCACGGGTCAGGAAGAAGGGTATTGGTTCAGCTGTTTTCAGTATGTGTTTACAGACAGAATAGGTAACTAGAACGCTACGCGTTCGGTTCCAATTGAAATTTAGTCGCCATCAATTCAGTAAAGCATATCTCTGATTTTCAAACACACTAGGGTTATCTCCTAATTGTAGTATACCAACAATCCTCCTCCAGCGTGCTGTAGGGTTTATTCAGACAGGGTTGTCGTATTGTGAGCCTGGTCCTATGGACTCCGAGAAGGGACATTGTCGCGTTGTGGCATTGTCGCCCTCTCAAGAACAAGTAAAATGAGGCAATATAAACCAAAACGCGACACGCGACATCGCGACAACGCGACATTTCGCCCATTTGTCGCGTTGTCGCGTGTCGCGTGTCGCGTTTTGGTTACTTTGCCTTATTTTGCTTGTATTTGAGAGGGCGACAATGCGACAATGCGACAACGCGACAATGTCCCTTCCAGGATTCCATATGGTCCTGACCTTAAGATGATGCTAAAAGTTTAAACAATACGCAAAAGGAGGGTGACAGGATGAAAACTGTGAATAAATAGTAATTCTTAATGGATTCTTTTCTTTACTAACTACCCTATGTACAGGTGGCTTGTTCGTCTGTAGTTCGGAGGGAGCTCCGTCCTCAATATATCCACTTGCATATTGCTGATCACTGGATTGTCTGGTCCAGACTGGATTATTTACTGACCGCCGCCATATAGCTGGGATGTTAAACAACAACTGTTTTACAAACAAAACTACAAGATGAAGCCAAACCGACGAGTAAGATCATCAACCTGAATCTATAGGTGCATCATCCAAACCATGTCACTGCTAAACACATTGACTAGTCTCCAACAGTTACCGTCATTGACGCCTTCCAGTTCATCCATCGTCCGCAGCAACCACTACATCTATTACTGCATCCGACGTGTGTGTGTGTGTTAAACTGTGATGCCATAGACAGCAGCGACGACGACATCCCCCCTGTCTCATGTGTTGGTGACACACCTTGTCGCCATGAACAGTTCCTGACACCAAATGAAACCAAACACCACAATACGAAACTTTTTCATCCACGACAGTATAAACGTCAAGAATGTCATATATAAAGTTATGGCACTAGTGCACCCTTTGCCTCAAGCACATTAGTAATGACACGGTTACTCAACGTATAAGTATGTTTAATTGCGAAAACTAACGCAAAAACAATATTTTGCATAATGGTCAAACTGTTTTCGCGATTAAAATATAAATATAAATACTTTTGGAATTAAAATTGGGGTCCGCGTTTCTGATGACTTTATCTTTCACCCAGCCACTTATTGCATTTTTATAGTATTCTGAGAAACTCTTGTCGTTTACTGTGTGACTGTCAATACTTCATATATCATACACACTGATTGTGTATGTCATGGTAATAAATGATATATCATTGTCGTTAAGTACAACAGTCATTAAACACCTTATAACCGTGAAATATACATGTCGTCTTTGTTCTGAGAGGTTCGAATGCAAGGTTAAAAACGATTATGTTTTAGCTTTGTCGGTATCAAACTCGCTAGTTTCACTGAAAGGCTAAAGGTCTAAGATTTTTGAAATTTCCTCCTAACATTTTACACATACCATTTTAATATGCGGTTTCGGATTTCAAAGCATATGAAACATCATGTAGTGTTTTCTCACAAAAAAGAAGGTGGGTGGTGCTTGATTAATGCTCATGTGCATGTATTACAGCTTCTAAGCCAGTGCTTGACAAGAGTGTCACATCGATGACTTGTTGCGCCCCTAAACAGCCTTAAGCTACAATCTACGTCATCAGGTAATAACAGGACATGTTTTCCTTGTGCAAGGGCATCACAAATGACAATCGATCATCATTCCTTCATAATGACCTAAATGTGTCAGGGCGTGATTCAATGCGCTATTGTGACGTAGCACTCTCATTTGTAATCGTCTTCGAACTGCAACCTTATTCAGGTTGAACACAAATTAGGTGTTTGAACATTTAGCCTCGTTTTGGTGCAGCTCCAGAACATGAAATATGTCCAAACAGTAATCAACGTTTTGCCCTAGATTGACGCAACGTGTATAACTTTTCGAATGTGTGCTACTTCCACATTTAGCCCATCTGGTCCATATCTGGCTAACTCAAACTGAGGTAGCTGTCCAAATAATAAACAGCGTCTTACCCTAGATTGACGTCACGCGTATATCGTTTCAATGTGTGTCGTGAAATGAATGTTGCTAATATGTCAACATAACGTCTCTTTGCAACTGCGACGACATAAAGAAACGCCATTTTGTACAAATGAAAGACGTTTGTGCCGTTTGAGCTGATGAGCACATTACAGTATTTAGGGAGTAAATCCTCGAGGACATCGCACCCTAACATAAAAGGGATAGACTGAACAAATTCCAGACTCTCAGTCCATTCGACCAAGGAGGCGCTGTACATATATGACAAGTACGGATATAACTTATAACATTTATTATAGAAAATATTTGAGTAGTGTTCCAACCAAGTGTCGTAGTAAGAGTATATCTATCTGAATATGCAATGGCGACTCCACGTTAAAGTTGGCTCGCCGGAAACACCAGGAACTTCCGCAACCCATTCTGATTGGTGCTTCCTCCAGTTTAGCAGCACTGGAACTGACAGTCCTGAAGAGTGTGGAAGTTGTTGCAGTTGCCCCCTCTCCCTCCGTACACAAATCTTCGGCAGGTGCCAGATTGATAGTCATAGAAGTACCGAGGGTAGTAGCCCTGGCCAATACCTTGAAGAACAGGTTGCAAACAAAGGTTTTCTCCTGAAAAAAAATCAGACAAAGTATAATTACAAATAACATGTGAAATGTGAAGGGTGGTGCAAAGGTGCTAGTTTGATGAAAACGTTCGCCGGGTTCTATTCTGCGCATGTGCGTCACAGTAAATGATGACGTCACAATCTATATTTTGGCAGTCACAATTTTCTTAGTTTAGGCTGCTAAATTTACTTATATATTAATACAATGTCTGTCGTCATAAAGCACCAGCAATATATCTATTTTATGCAGTTGAATTTTGACGGCATGCTTTAATTATCCAGGCATAACAGATCGCTAAACACTTCCTTCTTTAATTCAGTTGAAATGGGCAAAATCATGCGATGATCACTGAAAATGAATGATGACAAAAGGTGTTCGCGAAATGGGTCACCGTGCCCTGGTGGACAGGTAGGCAAATAATAAGGGTTTGTAGCCTGAAGCTGCACAACAGTATTGGCACCATATGGCAGGCCAGTCCTGACCTTAATCCACGGACGAGAGATACTGACTTATATACAAACAAGAAAAATCGATAATTATGATTTTGAATTAGGTCTGTCCTGTACATGTGAAGAGTCCCTGAAAACAAAAATCCCAGGTATGTATTCACATATTCGGAATATGATAGTGTGAATAACTTGCTACACTCCATGTCATGATTCAGTGACACGACCCGGGAAGACCTTCAGTAACCCATGCTTGTCGTAAGAGGGTACTAACGGGATAGGGTGGACAGGCTCGCTGACCTGGTTGACAATTGTCATCGTATCCAAACTGCTTAGGTTAGGACGATACTCATGCTGTTGATCAGTGGATTGTCTTCTCCAGACTCGATGGTTTACAGACCGCTGACTTATAGGCCTCCACATAGCTGGGGTGCGGCGTAAAATTAAATTCAACCATACACTCATCATTACACATGCAGAAATAGATGAATTTGAGCTGAGCGAATCCCAATGAATAATTTAGTCACAGTTGATATTGACTGATGGGTAAGAAGAACCCCAGAAGAACTATACAACCATGTACTGTATCATCACGTACCTCCACAGACAGCGCGGCATTCAGTCAGAGTGTGGAAGTTGTTCGAGTTGCCAGCACAGCCTCCGTAGATGAACTTCTCGCATATACCAAGTCGGTAGTTGAAGTAGTACCGGGGCATCGAGGTTAAACAATGACCTGGGTCCTTGGGAAGCTGGCAGCTGTACTGGTCCCGGTACTGGTCCCGGTACTGGTCCCGGTACTGGTCCCGGTACGGGTACCGGTGGTACTGGGCTGAGGTGAGAAGAACAAGCCCAGCAAGGACAGCAACCAGAGTTATACCGTGAAGCGCCATCTCGCTGTGGAGAGACAGTTTATATACTGATAATGTACATTCATATCTTATACATATCTTAATTAAGTATAAAATATGTAAGTATATCTGTGCCTTTCCATCACCAAGCGTAATGGATATTTTGTAATTTTAAAAACCATCATCAGGTGGTTGAAGGAATTAATTGTTAAATACATATTTTAAATGTGTACAAGGCGTTGCCACAACAGAACTTAATGAGTAAACGTTGTGAAAGGGTTAATATTTTGAGCTGAGAATATTCATTGACCGTAACAATTACCTCATGTGAAAAAGGAAATAATAATTAAAAACATTCAGAAATATCTAGAGGAAATGCTACTTACTAGTTTCTTTCTCAGGTCTCTTGTGAAGCTGTTCTTTATGAAGAGAACATATATAGTCGACCTTGATGGGCCTGATTGATTGACGTAGAAGATTGTGATTGAACACAGCCCCACTTATCTTCTTCTGTCTGTACAAACATAGTTGATGATAGATGGGACAGCAGGAAACCGTGACGGCATCACCTGTCAGCAGGATAACTATTTATCATACATACAGGCATTTTCTAGTTGCTTATTTTTGTGTAAACCTTTTGCACCCCGGACCCTCTCATTTACCCCAAATCAAATCGGGTGTCCCCCAACTTGCTGTCGGTAATATCGCCGATGAAGATATGTTTCAGTGTCAATGTTTCTGAGAGAGTAAGCTTAATGTCTACTCAAGGTTGTACCCAGGTTGAATAGAATATGGCATTGTAAACTTGACGTAAATGGTGACTGTGAAGACTGACAAGATAGTGACAGATGTTGCTTTTTTATTATCAGGATATATCAGTATGAAACGTCAAGGTTAGAGAGTTAGCAGTTTGGTTATACCTTGAAGCAATTCTCACTGGAAAAGGGCAAAAAAAAGGATTGAAATATCATAACTGATAATTAAAATACATTTCACGACGCTGGGTGCTTGCGAAAACAGCTTAAAGACTCAGTAGCAGGACAGACTCACCTGTGGAATTGTGTGCCTGCCTCTCCATACAAGACTGTAATGGTTATGCAAATGTATTTGATCTGATACAATTAAACTATGACAACTATAAAGATTGCTCCTGAATGGTTGAAATTAATTTTGAATTACATACATGTGACATGGTCTATGTCTTTAACATGAGGTGAGGTGAAATTGGGTTTAATGTCGTGCTTGAGAATATTTCGCTCATATGACGACGTGCATGTGTGTGTATGTGTATGTGCGTCTGCGTGTACTAGCCCAGACGGAAGCTGGTTTTATAGTGCTAGCCCACTGAGATATCATGCCGCAGTGAAGCATGAATACCCCACTCAGACACATTATACTGACTCCGAGCCGACCAGTCCTTATTGTACCCATTAATGCCGAGCGCCAGGCAGGGACCAACAAGTACCATATTTTAACGTCATTTGGTATGACGGGGCCGGGGATCGAACCCGCGACCTTCCGCTCTCCGGGCGGACGCTCTAACCACTACCCCACGGAGGCGGTCGTCTTCAACATGAAATGACCCTTAAACACCTACGTAAAGCTACGACATATGTTAGAATCGAAATAGTTGTTTTAGAAATTATGGTTGTCTACCATCACCATATCAGGTCGTATAATACATCGAAAAAAGAAATATATACAATGCCGACCGGGAATTCCGCGCAACTAAGCACATCGATCTCAACACGGCAACTAACGTCTCTTATTTTTTTGTGGTTTACGTGACTAAATATGCTGGTATGCATCATATTTACCTAGAAATATAAGTTTTATTGACGACTATAAGATTCTAACGTTGCATTATGCCATACAGTTGACCTTACCGGCGTTCTCACGACATCGCTTGCTGTCCGGTAATTCTGCTCAGCAACTTATGCGCATAACATCCAGATGGAGATCCGAAGTATGGAAGCGTATTAGGGCTAGATTATTTTCAAAAATCACTTCATCAATGTAAGGAAGAGTGTTTCATATTAAATCCATTTTTGAATAATGAAGAAAACGGTTTAAAAGTCCGATGAAAACGAATTTTCATAAAACTGTCAAATTTATCTGTCAGTTACTGTTATTTACTTACCTTTAGTGATTTAAAGCCAGTCCCTTGTAGAAATGTCCCGATTTCAAGCGTAAATGTCATAGCAGACGATGTTTACCTGGAAACAGAAGTACGTTATTGTAGCTGCGCAGAGTTATCGGACGCGCGTAATTACAGGACTCGATTGTAAATAAAATCATTTTCAAAATATCAAATCTCCTCTAAAATCTCCATTTCTACTAACATGAGCATTCACTCAATGCCTACTATCAGATAACACTGATCAAACAAGATTTGAACAAGAGAGTCGTATGATGCTCTATCAGATAACACTGATCGAACAAGATTAGAACAAGAGAGTCGTATGATGCTCTATCAGATAACACTGATCGAACAAGATTTGAACAAGAGAGTCGTATGATGCTCTATCAGATAACACTGATCGAACAAGATTAGAACAAGAGAGTCGTATGATGCTCTATCAGATAACACTGATCGAACAAGATTAGAACAAGAGAGTCGTATGATGCTCTATCATGATCAGATAACACTGATCGAACAGATCAAGAACAAGAGAGTCGTATGATGCTCTATCAGATAACACTGACACTGATCGTATGAAGCAGATTAAGATCTGAACAAGAGAGTCGTATGATGCTCTATCAGATAACACTGATCGAACAAGATTAGAACAAGAGAGTCGTATGATGCTCTATCAGATAACACTGATCGAACAAGATTTGAACAAGAGAGTCGTATGATGCTCTATCAGATAACACTGATCGAACAAGATTAGAACAAAGAGAGAGTCGTATGATGCTCTATCAGATAACACTGATCGAACCAGATTAGAACAAGAGAGTCGTATATAATGCTCACATCAGATAACACTGATCCAACAAGATTAGAACAAGAGAGTCGTATGATGCTCTATTAAAACTTCGTAGAACAAGAAGCATGCTCGTATGATGTATTGTGATTTGTTCATTGTTGAACACCGCAATATTCCAGTTAGACACGCCGGTCTGTGAATACTCTTGTCTGGACCAGAGAATCCCATGATTGACATCAACACTACGGAGCCACAGTGACGTGCATCAACCAAGCTGTCGGAATAGAGCTCGACATAAAGGGAAGTCTGACTGTTGGAATAGAGCTCGACATAAAGGGAAGTCTGACTGTTGGAATAGAGCTCGACATAAAGGGAAGTCTGACTGTTGGAATAGAGCTCGACATAAAGGGAAGTCTGACTGTTGGAATAGAGCTCGACATAAAGGGAAGTCTGACTGTTGGAAAGTGATTCATCTCATCATACAGTCTTGTGAAACGTTTTTTGTTAGTGTTCATCTTTTTATATAATTCACGTGTTTCTTTTGTTTCAATTTCTACTGGTTAAATAGTGGACAGGAACTGGATCATTATTGAATTACATTACATGGTAAAGTACTTGGCGAAATCTCCCTGTTTTGCCTTCTTCCTGCCTAAACGCCACAAAAATAATGCGCTTTAAATCACCCTCAATGTGTATGTCAACGCGTTCCATAAGTGTATGCATCTATTGGTAGTCTTTTTGTAAGATGTGAGTCTTGAACTGCAACTTAAAGAATACAAGGATGGAGAGAATGTGATCAGAAGAGGAAGGTCAACTCATTCCACAACTGTGGAGCAGTGGAGCAGTGGAGCTTAATGATTTCCGTCCACATGGACAGATTGTGCTGAGGAACAGTCTCTGAACAGATAAAGCGTTTTTAATTTAAAGGTCACATGCAACCAAAAAATCAAACATAATTAAAACACAATTATCACTTCTTCATGACATATAATATGCATTGCTGATTATGAAAAAACAAATAAACAAAATTATAAGCGTATAATCGCAAATCAAAAGTGCAATATTTTGTTCTTGGGTTTACCTCCCTCGAAACGAAGCAGCCGGGATACCGAACCCAGTCAGAGCGGGTGGGTGTGCACTCAAGTGTAACGGCTGGTTCATTAGCAGATGCCGCCTTCATGGCTCATTGTGTGTGTATATATAGAGATGTTGGGTTTTGTAAATACATGCTCATTTTTTGTGTATAACATTTTGCAATCAACAGACATCATAACATGTCATGTGTTCAAGTATCACACCTGCCTGTCTGTGTAATTACATAATGTGACAGAGACCGAACTCGGGCCATAAATCAATGCGTTTTGTTTAAGGTGTATAGCCTGATTGGTGTTAAGTTCGAATTGCATGTGGTCAGTGATAGCAGCTGTGTATTGAATATTGTCATTAGCAGACAGGCAGGCAATAAACACAGGTGTCAATAAAACAAGACATTGAGTCTTGTCTGTGACAACGACATATCTATATCACAGTTAGAAATTCTGTCAACGCTAAATAATGACATTGCTTTTAAGTATCGAACTGAGAAAGTGACTCGGTAAGAAGAACGTGTGGTGAAATAGACAAATGAAATTATATAAACAGTTAATTTACTGTCATAACATATAAAAAGCTCGCGCCTGTGAGATATCAACAAAACATTAGAAAAATAGCTCACACCAAAGCCTTCACCGAGTATTCACCCGACAACCCGCTTCCAAGCTGCGCGAACCTATTTACTTGCGCACGTGCTATGAGCGCAGCCCAGCTGTTGAAACCCGTTTTCCCCAGAAAAGTCTGGGGAAAATTAGTGAAACGTTTGAACTCCGATTTCGCGCGTTCTTTTTCATTGCGTTATTTTTCAACTTTATAAGTTGAATTTGCATTTTTGACGATTTGTTTCGGTATGTCTATACCGAAAGGACTCAGAATCTGCAAAGTTGTGTTTTACGTTGCATGTGACCTTTAAGGGTTCTTTCGTGTAATTGAAGTGAAGGGCTCTCGTTTGACGATTTGTGTCGGTAACGAAACGATACGCTGACTGGTACCAGTCTGGAACACGCATAGACTGAAGAC